ATTTGTCTTTGAAACCAAAAAGGATTTCTTAATCTTTCTGTAGATACTCATCCCATAGACAGTATAATATTGTTGTCTCTAGTCAGGCAATTTATATGTTCAAAATTGGACACAATTTAATCTCCCACTTAAAAAAAATGTCATGAGCTGCACTACGTATCTCTTCTGAGAATTTGGAGGGTATGAAAAGACAACCAAAAAAATAAAAGCAACAATGGGAGCTTTTGTTTTGATTTTCTGATGTTCTTCTGTGGGTATCCTGTCTAGACTTTCATCTCTCACTTCCTTAAGCTGTCTTTGTCATTTGGCTTTCTTTCCTCAGAATGCCGTTAAGCACATCGACAAGATCAGCCGAAGGGAGATTAACGAACATGATTGGCTAAAGGAAGAGGTGAGTGCATCCGGAAGGAACACCAAGATAGGAAAGTACATAAAAGACAGACTTCATATCAAACATCTTGTGTTGCACAAAGATATTGGCTGAAATATTGACCGGGACATCCATAGGGATACCAAGCTCCTTGTTTATAAAGCTATTGTCCTCCCAAGCCTGCTATACGCCTGCGAGACGTGGACTATATATAGACGTCACAAATCTTGGCAGCCACCTCTCCACAAAAGTCAACATTGACACAACACGGCCTGAGCTCTGCAAGTGCAGTATTTTTCCAATTGAAGCAGAGTGTGTTTGAGAACCGGGACATCCGTAGAGAGATCAAGGTGCTTGTTTATAAAGATATTGTCCTCCCAACCCTGTTATATGCCTGTGAAACGTGGACTGTCTACAGACGTCATATGCAACTCCTGGAATGATTCCATCAGCGTTGCCTCCGAAAAATCCTGCAAATCTCTTGGGAAGATAGGGGGACAAATCTCAGCGTGCTGGAAGAAGCAAAGACCACAAACATTGAAGCAATGGTCCTCCGCCATCAACTCTGCTGGACCGGTCACATTGTCCAAATGCCCGACCACCATATCCCAAAGCAGTTATCCAGTTATAGTCTGGGCCATTCCAATGATCATTGCACATAATTCCATATTTATTTATTGCAGAAGATATTTGAAGGCTTGATCAAAAAGCCACATTTTTACTTTGTATATTTTTTTGTGGCAATTACTGCAACTCAATCAACATATTGTGCAAATTAAAACTTGAACACAACAAGCCTGTTTGTGGGGTGGGGGGAGCATTTTTATTTTTATTTATTTATTTATTTATTTATTTATTTATCAATTTTATATACCACCACTCCCCGAAGGCTTGGAGCAGTTCACAATATACACATGCAATACATAACATTAAAATCAAGGAAAATTTCGATCAGCAAGGTTCAAATGCCAGCCTAAATAAATAAGTTTTACAAGCTCTATGAAAGGATAGTAAATCTTGGAGAGCTCGTGTCTCCGCTGGCAAGGCATTCCACAGGTAAGGAGCCACCACCGTAAATGCTCTACGCCTAGTAGACATCAGGTGAAAGGTCCTAAAATTGGGAACTTCAAGTAAATTCTGGTCATCTGAATGGAGTGATCTCTGGAGTTTGTAGGGGATGAGGCGGTCCCTCAGGTATTCTGGCCCCAAGCCTTGATCAAGCCTTCAAAGATCTTCTGCAATAAATAAATATGGAATTATGTGCAACGACCATTGGAATGGACCAGACTATGACTTTTGATAGGCCCTGAAGGTAAGAATCAGCACTTTGAAGGTAATCCGATACTCAGTCGGCAACCAGTGCAGTTGCTGCAGGATTGGAGTGATATGACACCTTGCTGAGACCCGTGCAAGAAGCCGGGCAGCAGCATTTTGCACTAGTTTAAGTTTCTGTTAAGTTAATTTTTCACATAATACCCCTGAGGACTACAGGCAACACTTTGGAAAGCTCTGGTACAGAGGGTTGATCAATCTATTAAAGAGATAGATGTCAGCATTTGATGCATTGAGGCGCTGAGGTTCATGGGGTAAATATGAGGGAGAGGGCCAGTGTGGTTTGGTCTCTCTTTGTCCAACTCAATCACAGGCCTTATCCAACAATGTCTTCAATGACGCACTGGAAGAAAGTGGTATCATAGAGTTGGAAGAGACCACAAAGGCCATCCTGTCTAAGCTCATTCGGCCAAGCAGAAATAATCAAAGCACTTCCCGCAGATGGCCGCTCAGGCTGTTTAAAAACCTCCAGTAAGCAAGCAAAAGACAATCAGGGAGGGTGCTGTCACTTCTGCCTCCAGCATCAGCCACCTGAAGGGTCCTTGTGAACGAACTGTCCCAGGCCTCAACTTCTCCAGAAAAGGGTCATTGGGTAGCACAACTGGTGAAGTAGTTGGTAATATTTGACTAGATGGAACAATGGTTTGGTACAGGATTTCAGCACTGAGTTTTGCATTTCATGGCAGGTTGCAGCTTACCGAAGGGACGTGAGTGACCTGGAAGCTTCCATCTATGAACTGGAGAAGGAGAACATCTACCTCATCAACAAACTGTTTGACCGGAAACTGCAGTTCCTTAAAGTGCCCAGGTAAAAGAAGTTCCTAGAAGTTAAATGCCTTTGAGCATTTATATTTCAATTCCCTTCTGTAAGCATAGCAGAAATTCTTTCAGTTGCAGCCTAGTTTTAGATTGTCAAAGATAGGTGACACAAGACAGATTAGTCATTGGATTAGTACAATTGGCAAAGAATCGTGTTCTTAGATGTAGCAGACAGAAAAATTAGTTTACAAAGTGGGGATTTGCCAGGATTTGAGACAAATATGAACTACAAAGTGTAAAATAATTGGGAAATTACTACTACACCACTCGGAAGGCATAAATCTCATCTAATTTCAGAAGCTAATCAAGGTGTGCCTTGAAACGTACTTGGGATGAGAGGAGGTCACGTAAAGATAGGAATTTCCAGGTGCATCCCCTCTAACTCTCCTGATTTGGCAGGGAACCGTCTCAATTTATTATCATTCATGTTTCTCAGTTGCTTTTCATATGTCAGTTTCTCCTCCTCCCACTTGTCCGCTTGCTACTCACATTACTTCTGTTGTTTTAAATTACATTTAAAATGCAGCAGAAGTTTGCACTTGATAAACTAAGCAAGGAGGAGAATGGGGGACAAAATCTTGCCCTTCCCAGTAGGCTGAAGCAAAAGCAAAATGTTTGTGTGTTCTCCACTAAGAATGTTTTCCCATCATAGTCATATGCTGATGTTGGACAGTATTTAGCTAGGGCTTGTAAAGAAGCCTGTCTGGAACCCTAGAGAGATGGATGGCTGCCAGTCAAAATTGGTAGTACTGAGCTAGATGACTCCGTGGTCTGTCTCAGTATAAGGACGCTTCTTCTGCTCCATTATGGCACATAAACTAAGAAATTGCTAGAGGCAATGTAGTCAGGAAGGAAGGACTCCTAGGAAATTTGAACTTTGAGAGAAATGAAGTCTGGAATTTTGTTGGGTGAGAATAAATCCACTCACATCATCGTAAGTGGATTTATGCCTGCAGGAATTAGAATTGGGCAGTTCCATGATGTACATCCAGTAAAGGGTGCTGTTACATTAGGAGTGGCAGCAAAGTAACTGATGCACAATGGTTCCAATGAGTGTGTATTGGTCCTATTGTACAATGTAACACACCATTGTTATGCATTGGGACACCCTTGTCGATGTCCTATTATCCATCTTCACAATTCACTCCCAAACTTTCTTGATGTCTATGTCATGTAACAAATGATACTTACAATTATGTTATTTGCACCATGATAGAGGTGTTGTAGATCAGCCAGACACTTATGGTTTAACTGATGATTTAGAGAGGATTGTGATTTCCTGTGGCACAAAGTGATGGGCCTTCAAGTCTTGGAAATTCAAGACTGGGAAATGATGGTTCCCTCTGTGACAAAACTGGCTCGGAAAGTGCAAGGCCTCAAGGGCATTCAGGGGAGTCAAAAGTAGCAACAACAAATAAGAAATCGAGTGAAGAGTTGAGTGATAAGTAGGGTTCCCAGGAGAAACAGAGTAGCTACAGAGATCAACAAAAAGTCTTCATTTACAAATCAGAGTGGAAAATAGATTGTGTTGTTCAGAAAGATTACGTGGGAAAGTTGTGGAGTAAATTCATGGGAGATGTAATGTTTTCATGCGTGTCTATTAAATGGTAAATTGTTTACCTTAAGATCAGTTCAGGCAATGCTGCGTTAGAGTGAGAAGCTAAGCCTGAGTTCTCTCAAGCTTTGGTTTTGGAATATATCCTGGAAGTTTTCTTATGTTCCTGTTCATGTACTCCTGTTCAAGTTTTTACTAGTTATACCTTCTTCCTTGTGTACTTATGTTGTATCTGTGATTTCTGGCTTTTCCTAGACTTTGTCACCTCTGGAACTTTATGAGACATTTGGATTAGTGTTGGGTTGTATTTGGCAATGTGTGGACAAACCTGCTGAATCAGAGAAGCTTCTTGGCCTTTACGGCCCCTTCTACACTGCCATATAAAATCAGATTATTTGCTTTGGGTTATATGGCAGTGTAGACTCATATAATCCAGTTCAAAGCAAGTGATATCTTCTTTGATAATATGGATTATATGGCAGTGTAGAAGGGGCCTGAGTGGATGTAGATTAGGGTCCCTTCTACACTGCCATATAATCCAGATTATCAAAGCAGATAAGTCACATTATCTGCTTTGAACTGGATTATATGAGTCTACACTGCCATATAATCCAGTTCAAATCAGATAATCTGGGTTTTATATGGCAGGGCTCAAAGAATAACAAGAATAATAAACATTGGGGTTAAATTATGTAGTTTAAAAGGGAGGGAAAACCCCACCAGGCAAAAAAGAGGCTGCCATATTTGGCCTCAACTTCTGTTGTGTAACTAGGCTTTAAAGTTACATATAACATTTAGGCAGGCATCCAGCTAGTATCAAACTACATGATGAATATGAAGGAAGTCATGTGTTTGTCCACAGTAGCACATTGGCACAGAAGGGGTAGAATTAGCAACATCAAGCTCTAGTCTTTGCAATTAATGTGGAAATAACTGTTCTACTGATTCTGTTCTCATAATTACTAATTTGGATAACAAGCTATCATGCTATACTGTTTAGAATGAGTACTAATTGCACTTGGCAAGAAAATTAAAAAATGTCTCCCTTTTAGCATTGTTTAGCCATTTAATTGTGGATGAGGAAGCATCTTAAAGAACAAATCATCTGTTAAATTACATTGCTGCTCTATCTTCTCTGCCTTTTAATCTACAAGAAATCAAAAATTAGATAGAAATTAGAAAATTAGATTTTTGCTCCGGTACATTTGAAACAATGGAAGTGGCAACGGTTCACAATCAATCAAAAACCAAGTTGTTTCCCCAAATCTCCCTACAGTATATCACTCAAAGCCAGGCATGTGCAAGCTTCAGGCCTCCAGGTGTTTTGGACTTCAACTCCCACAACTCCTACCGGCTGTTAGGAATTGTGGGAGTTGAAGTCCAAAACACCTGGAGGCCTGAAGTTTGCCCATGCCTGCTCTAAGCAAACTAAACTCTTTCTCATGTTCTTCTCAATTTTCCATTTATAGCCAGCTGCACATTTCTAAGTGAGAGGTGTCATGAAAACCATGGGCATAAAAGGGCTTATATGCTTTCATGTGCATCCAATTTTGCCTCCTTGCCTTGGAAAGAGAGTGTGTGTGACGGGGCGTGCAGGCAAGCCCAGAGCTCGGCTGCAGGTGCACTTTGGGCCTGCCTGCATGCCCCACCACCCACATACTCTCAAAGAGTGTGTTGGCGGTGCGCAGGCAAGCTCGGAGCTCAGCTGCAGGTGTACTCCGGGCCTGCTTGCACACCCCACCACACACACACACACACTTGGAGGATGTGGCAGGAATGTGCAGGCAGGCAAGGATGTGCAGGCAGGCAGGCTTGGAGCACGCCTGCAGCTGAGCATCACTTACTCTAGAGTAAGTGGTGCTTGGTTGCAGGCACTGGGAGGCATTGTATTGCCGAAGGCTTTCGTGGCTGGAATCACTAAGTTCTTGTGGGTTTTTTGGGGCTATATGGCCATGTTCTAGAGGCATTTTCTCCTGACGTTTCGCCTGCATCTATGGCAAGCATCCTCAGAGGTAGTGGGACTCACTACCTCTGAGGATGCTTGCCATAGATGCAGGCGAAACGTCAGGAGAAAATGCCTCTAGAACATGGCCATATAGCCCCAAAAAACCCACAAGAACCTACTGGGAGGCATGCTCACTTTCCGAGCCTGTCTGCACGCCCCCCAAGGAGAGTGCATGTGTGGCATGGTGTACAGGCAGGCCCGGAAAGTGTGCGTGTCTGTCAGTACCTACAGCCGAGTACCTCTTATGCTAAGAATAGAAATAGCAGGTGCCAGGTAAGAAGAACACCAGGAAGGGGAGCCAGTAGATGGGAAGCTACTGGCTCCCACTCACAGGGAGGGTTACAAATAATGGATCAGGGCCCCCAACGAAAGCTGGGACACGAAATGGGACCTTTCCCCCGAATGCACATGTCTAGTATCTACCACTACAGAAATCTATTCAGGTATTCCACCTTTTCAAACAGTAGTACTATCATGTTAGAAGCTAATGTGGGCATTAAATACTTCCTGCCTGTGGTTGTGCACTGATATAGGAACAGAAATAACATTGGCTCCCACAGGCCGCAGGACTACATCTCTCATCAACTCATACTCCATAGTGAGAAGACCTGAGTGTTGTGGATAAGCAGCATCTGGAGGACTATTTGGTTCCCTCTCCTCCAGTACCATTTCACTGTTCTTTTTAGGAAGAAACCATGGGGTCAGTGGTAGATCACTTGCTTAGCCCCCAGGTTAAACCTTTGTGCTGGCAGGATGAAAGACCAACAGGTCGGAGGTTGAAATCTGGGGAGAATGTGGATGAGCTCCTTCTGTCAGCTCCAGCCCCCCATGCGGGGAGATGAGAGAAGCCTCCCACAAGGATGGTAAAACATCAAAACCTATGGGTGTCCCCTGGGCAACGTCCTTGCAAATGGCCAATTCTCTCACACCAGAAGCGACTTGCAATTTCTCAAGTCACTCCTGACATGAAAAAAAACAACAAATAATCCAGGTAATAATAATAATAATAATAATAATAATAATAATAAGAAGAAGAAGAAGAAGAAGAAGTAGAAAAATCTTCTTCCCAAGACCCATGACTCTTGAGTCACATTCTGCGCATAAGTGGAAGCCAATTTGGGAACTGTGTATGTATGGCAAGATGGGCAATATGTGTCCTTCAACTTAATTCTAAAAGCCTTCTCAAGTTGAGGTCGCTGCATGAACGATTTGTCCCTTCTTCACTGATAAATAACAAGGAAAAAAATATAATGACAGAAAGACAGGAAAAAAAGAGAGTGAACAATACCCCTAACGTTCACTGTCTTCAAACCTTCTCTCCAACTGCATTTAGCTTCTGACAAATTACTTGCTTAGCAAAGGAATCACCATTTCCAACCTCTGCTCTAACATGTATAGCAAAAACAAAAGCTAAACATAACAAACCCAAAACAAATTGGTGGGCTTGTGAACAGCTCATCCCTTGTTTTTCCAACCATTTGCTAGAAAAGAAAAACAAAAAGCCACAAATCACACTCTTATGGTTTTCCCCAATGTGTTAGTGATTTGCCAGCAGCAACTACAAGCCCTTTGATGCATTTTGCATGAGCACACACTTTTCAATCAGGTGGTCCTAGTTCAGATCTCCAGAAAGTGATTGGGGGGGGGGGGGGATTCAGTGAGACTCTGGAGAGCTCCTGTCAGTTGTATTAACAACATTGTGCAGGATGTTCTCAGGCAAGGGAAAGGAAAATATGGCATTCTCATTTGCCCTTAGTTTGGTTCAGGGAATGTGGAAGATGTTTGCCTTCAGGGAACAGAATTCATTGCTCAAGCACCCCAAGGGAAATGGTAGATACATAGTTTGCTGCTGTTGTGTGTGAGTAGAAGAGAAGTTAGAGCGCACGGAGGAATAATTCAAGCAATAGATCAATGGAACTTGCCAGCATAAACATGGTTGTTTTTAAAAAAGAAAAGATGTTCTCTGTTTAAATCGAAAACATTTCACCCTTTGACGTTACTTTTTTTCTGACTTGTAACTTTCCAGAAAGTTATTTCTTACTCAAGGTGCTGGTCTACACATCCCTGGAAAAGATTGGGAAGATCTTGACTTGTCAGGTAATGTATTATTATTATTTACTTCATTTATATATCGCTTTTCTCAGCCCTTGGGTGACTCAAAGCGGTTGACAATAGCAAAATAGCAAAAAAATTTGTACTGGCCCCAAAGTACTGGGGCCGGGGGGGGGGTTGGGGGGCTTCAGGCTTCAGCCCCCCCAAAATTCTCATGGTGGTCCATGAGAAGACCTTACTGGTACATTATTTAAACTGTTATGTTTATTCATATCATGATCTGATCACCATGCTCAATATATCCCATATGCATGGGGGTATTGGGTAACAAAAGGTTTGCTAGGATAGACCCTCTTTCACTCAGACTCAGCCCCCCCCCCCAAACAACTCAGCCCCCCCCGCCCGAAACAAAATCCTGGCTACGGGCCTGACTGGGGCGATAGTATGAGGAACCGTTTAGGCTACAAGGGTGTCTGAACTGGAAAATATGGACGGATCCCCAAAATCTCTGATAGTCCCCCCTTTCTGAACCCGAGAAAAATGTATCTGCTTAGGAATTCAATGTAATCCGAGGCTGGTATCTATATCAGGAAAGGACAGGATTGGATCTGTGGTTTTTTCCAATGTGCCTTCAATGATTGGATGTAAAATACTCCCTGACCAAATTTTGCACAAATGACATCAGAAGCACTTTACTTTATGGTTCGTTCAATTAATTCCTTCCTCATCCCAGATCTCCCTTCCCAATAATTTACATTGCCCAATTTCCCAGTGTTTTAAATTTTTTATCCTTAAATTTGGCCCTGCCCCGTGTAATCCTGTGTGTTTAATGTCCGATTTTATACTGCTGTGTCACTTAGTATATTGCTTTTGCATTTTATGTTTTTTATTTTCTAGTTCTGTTATGCTTTTTGTGTTATATTGTGTTATACTTTAGTGTTATATTGTGTTTACTGTACTGATGGGCGTAGCCTCATGTAAGCCGCCCCAAGTCCCCCTGGAGGAGATGGAGTGGGGTATAAATAAAGTTATTATTATTATTATTATTATTATTATTATTATTATTGATGGTGTACTATAAGTCCGTTATTCCCGACCATTGAATTCTTGACAGCAGAAGGTGTCACCTCAACATCTTTAAACTTACTCGCCCAACGACGCACAGTACTCACATCAACACAATCACCATAAACAGCTTGCATTCTGTGATGAATCTGCTTTGGGGTGACACCTTCTGCTGTCAAGATTTCAATGACTGCACATTGCTTAAGTCGCATTGACCAACCATCTGTGCAGGGTTCCATGCTTCGCATTTTAACAACACAACTGTTCAATGCTAAGGCTTCCTGCCAAAATGGAACTGTAGAGGAGAGTCTACTGAACAAGCCAGTACCTTCTGCATACCAGTACTGCCATCTGTTGAGGAGTTACGAAGGTGGAGGCATTACTTTTCATTCAACCCTTATACAAAAGAGGGAATGTAAAAGCAAGTGAGAATGGCATGCCCCTCAGAACCCCTCATGTTGCCTGCAGCAAAGATAACCGCCTCCCTGTTTCCCCCCCCCCCCCCAATTTACAGAGGCAAGTGCCAACTGGGCATCATTATCAGAATTTGTGCTTGCGGTGGAGGGCAAGCCAAGCGAGGAGAAAAAGGAGTCAGAAGAGGAGGAAGAAATAAAAGAAGACGATGTCGTACATCTGCGAGGAGAGGCAGCCTACGGCTTTCTTCCCCCAATTCTGTATGAAGACAGCAATGATTTCAAGGTGAGGATCTTTCGCCCAAGAGAGGCTCTGAATGAGATAATACTAGTTTTGCTAGAAGACTAAAATGTGGCCGTTGCGGCTTACAATGCAACGAGTGACTGAACAATCACATCTTAATTTATCAATAGTCTTCCAGAAATCTTAAAGAAACCTGTTATTTGCGTTGTCGAAGGTTTCCATGGCCAGAATCACTGGGTTGCTGTGCGTTTTCCAGGCTATATGGCTATGTTCCAGAAGCATTCTCTCGTGATGTTTCACCCACCTCTATGGCAAGCATCCTCAAAGGTTGTGAGGTCTGTTGGAAACTAGGCAAGTGGGGTTTATATATCTGTGGAATGATGTCCAGGGTGGGAGAAAGAACTCTTGTCTGCTTGAGGCAAGTGTGAATGTTGCAATTGACCACCTTGATTAGCATTGAATGGCCTTGCAGCTTCCAAGCCTGGCGGGTTGCTGCCTAGGGGGATCCTTTCTTGTGAGCGGTTCACTGGCCCTGATTCTTGTCTGGAATTCCTCTGCTTTTTGAGTCTTGCTCTTTATTCGTTGTCCTGATTTTAGAGTTTTTTTAAATATTTGTAGGCAGATTTCTTTCATTTTCATGGTTTCCTCCTTTCTGTTGAAATTGTTCAAATATAAATATGTGAGAGGAAGCCACAGGGAGGAGGGAGCAAGCTTGTTTTCTGCTTCCTTGGAGACTAGGATGCGGAACAATGGCTTCAAACTACAAGAGAGGAGATTCCATCTGAACATTAGGAAGAACTTCCTGACTGTGAGAGCCGTTCAGCAGTGGAACTCTCTGCCCTGAAGTGTGGTGAAGGCTCCTTCTTTGGAAGCTTTTAAACAGAGGCTGGATGGCCATCTGTCAGGGGTGATTTGAACGCAATATTCCTGCTTCTTGGCAGAATGGGGTTGGACTGGATGGCCCATGAGGTCTCTTCCAACTCTTTGATTCTATGATTCTATGATTCTATGTTCACATGCTCTTGGATTTCAGTGGCTACCAGTATTTAAAAAAATCTCTAAAATCAGGACAGTAAATAAAGAGCAACACTCACAAACAGAGGAATTCCAGACAAAAATCAGGGCCAGCGAACACCTCCCAATAAAGGATTCCCCCAGGCAGCCATCAGCCAGGCTTTGAAGCTACAAGGCCATTAAATGCGAATCAAGGTGGCCAATTGCAACATTCACACTTGCCTCAGGCAGGAACCAGTTCTTTCTCCCACCCTGGACATTCCACTGATATATAAACCTCACTTGCCTAGTTTCCAACAGACCTCACAACCTCTGAGGATGCTTGCCATAGATGTGGGCGAAACATCAGGAGAGAGACTGCATCTGGAACATGGCCCAGGAAACACAGCAACCCAACCTGTGTCTTTTTCATCTACTCCTCACTTCAGAATGGTATCTATCCTTAGTGAGTGGCCGGCTGGCTGCGTTTCTAGAAATGCTGGCAGTATGACTCAGCTATGAGCCTGTGTCTGCTTAGGTTAGGCAGCTGCACTCTGACATTTACACAGCTGGTGCAAGCATTTCTCCCATTCCGGCAGTTGTCCACATTGCCGATCTAGCTATTCTTGTTTCCTGCTTGTATCTCTGCTTCCATTCTTTCTCATATTGAAAGTTTTTAAACAGAGGGTCAGGTCACAGTCCCTCAAACAGTTGGAGGGCCAGATTATAATATGGGGAAAAAAAAACATGAATGAAGTCCTATGTGCACTGCACATATCTAAAGTGCACAAAACACTTTAAAAATACAATAATTAAAATGAACAATTTTAAGAAATATAAACTTATTAGTATTTCAATGGGAAGTGTGGGCCTGCTTTTGGCTGATGAGATAGGATTGTTGTTGTTGTTGTTGTTTGCTTTCAAGTCGTTTCAGACTTAGGTTGACCCTGAGCCAAAGTCAGGTAAATGACCTTGGAGGGCCATATCCGGCCCCCGGCTCTTAGTTTGAGGACCCTTGCCTCAGCACTTGGAAGATCCAAACTAAGTGTTAATGCAGTGGTTTTCAACCTTCCTAATGCCGTGACCCCTTAATACAGTTCCTTATATTGTGAAACAGAGGCTGGATGGCCATCTGTCAAGGGTGATTTGAATGCAATATTCCTGCTTCTTGGCAGGTGGTTGGACTGGATGGCCCATGAGGTCTCTTCCAACTCTTTGATTCTATGATTCTATGATGACCCCCAACCATAACATCATTTTCATTGCTACTTCACAACTATAATTTTGCTCCTGTTATGAATCATCTTGTAAATATCCGATATGCAGGATGTATTTTCATTCATTTGGCACAAATATTCAATATGCCCAAATTTGAATACTGGTGGGATTGAGGGGAGGATTGATTTTATCATTTGGGAGTTGTAGTTGCTGGGATTTATAGTTCACTTACAATATCAAAGAGCATTCTGAACTCCACCAATGATGGAATTGAACCAAACTTTGGACACAGAGCTCCCATGACCAAGAGAAAATACTAGAAGTATTTGGTGGGCATTGACCTTGGGTTTTGGAGTTGTAGTTTACCCACATCCAAAGAACATTGATGCATCTGGACCATACTCAATATGCCCAAATGTGGACACTGGTGCGGTTTGGGGAAGATAGACCTTGACATTTGGAAGTTGTAGTGGCTGTGATTTATAGTTCACCTATAATCAAAGAGCATTCTGAAGTCCACTAATGATGGAATTGGGCAAAACTTCCTACACGGAACCCTCACGACCAACAGAAAATACTGTGTTTTCTAATTGTCTTTGGCGACCCCTCTGACACCCCCTCGCGACCCCCCCAGGGGTCCCGACCCCCAGGTTGAGAAACACTGTGTTAATGGGAATGTGCATTTCCTGTAATAAGCCCATTTTTCCTCCCTCAGTGAGATTTGATTAGGGGTGCGTGCCTCAGCAATCAGATCGTATATTAAAGCTGGTGTTTACTAGTCTTGTGCATTTGTACAGAACTGCTATCCATTTCGGTTTGTTTTTGAGCACTTCTTCCGAAAATGGCGCCTTTCTGAATGCACTGTTTTGTTCTTTCATCCAAATAAACAAAAAAATTTTTGGACCAATGGCCAGGCTCCCCTTCCGCTCAGTTTTAGGACCAGAGGGGTGAAAATCACTACACCTGGAGGGCACGCCAACTACTCTTAGTCCACCAAGTTTTACAATATTTGGGTAATCCCCTGATTTTTAGGGATTTTTTTTCTTCCTATAAATAATATCTCCTTGAAAACATTCCCTCTTTCCCTTCCTCCCTATTTGCAGAGAAGACCTGGGGTTAAAGGCAGGGCTTAAGATACCACTGATTCAGAGACATTTCCCTCTGGATCTGCAAAGACCTGAGGTTAAAGGCAGGGCTTAAGGTACCACTGATGGGGTTGGTCTCCCCATATATAGCCTGGCAACATCACTGTTTTCTTGGGCTCTGATTGACCCAAACACCTCCTCCTCATCCTCTGAGGCATGTGGAAGGCTGTGTGAGCGAAGCCATGAGGTCCAAAAACCAAACAAAGTAATGGTACATCATCGAAGGCTTTCATGGCCGGAATTACTGGGTTGTTGTAGATTTTTTTCGGGCTATATGGCCGTGTTCTAGAGGCATTCTCTCCTGACGTTTCACCGGCATCTATGGCAAACATACCTCTGAGGATACTTCACTTCACTTCTTCACTTCACTTTATTTCTTAATTAGTCGCTCTCCACCAAGGTGCTCCGAGCGACTTACAATCTAAAATAGCATTTACACAATATAAAAACATTCAGCATAAAAACATTCAACAGTGACTATTTGGCAAATTAGATCTGATTACTTAAATGCACAAACAAACAGCCAAGTCTTGAGTGCCTTTACAAAAGGTCGCAACTCCGACATTGCTCTAATGTATGGAGGCAATGAGTTCCACAGAATTGGAGCATAGGTCAAAAAAGCTCTACGCCTTGTAGCTTCCAGGTGTACCTCCATAAATGCAGGCGAAACATCAGGAGATAATGCCTCTAGAACATGGCCACATAGCCTGAAAAAACCTACAACAACCCAAAGTAATGGTAACCGTGCAACTTTCTCTTTCGTTTCACCCCTTCTTCTGTACAAAAATGGGATTTTAGTTTCATGCCATCCAAATGGATGGTACGAAATGAAAACCTGAATGAAACAAATTAGACAAATACTGGGCCCATGTCTAGTGTTTATCTTCCAATGGGCAATCACAAAAAGAAACATTTATTTATTTATTTATTTATTTATTTCGGGCGCTTCTACCCTGCCCTTCTCAACCCCCAAGGGGGGACTCAGGGCGGCTTACAACCGGCACAATTCGATGCCAACAATTCAACAGATAAATTACACAACAGTAATAATCACAATAGTTAAAACAATCAATTAAAACAATAACAATTCAAAGCCAATCTAGTGGCCAATGTTCACCGAGTTCTAATATCCATAAGTCCATTCAGCATTACCATAGTCCATTCCAATTTCTGGTCGTCAGTACCTTGTCAGTCTGCCAGATTACTCAAAGGCCTGGTCCCATATCCATGTTTTCAGCTTCCTTCTGAAGGAGAGGAGGGATGTTGATGACCTAATTTCCCCGGGGAGTGAATTCCATAGGTGAGGGGCCACCACTGAGAAGGCCCTGTCCTTCGTCTCCACCAGCCTCACTTGTGATAGAGGCGGGGCCGAGAGCAGGGCCTCCCCTGAAGATCTTAAACTCCGAGGTGAAACATAGGAGGAGATACATTCGGACAGGTACACTGGGCCGGAGCCGTATAGGGTTTTATAGGTCAAAACCAGCATTTTTAATTGTGCTCGGAACTGGATCGGCAGCCAGTGGAGCTGACGTAACAGAGGAGTGGTATGCTCCCGGTATGACGCTCCGGTGATTAATCTAGCTGTTGCCTGTTGGACTAATTGAAGTTTCCGAACAGTTTTCAAAGGCAACCCCACGTAGAGCAAAATGCTGATGTGTAACCTAAAAGCAAGTGTTGTGACCCGTCAGGCTCTTTCACTACTTGATCACCTCTTTCCCAGGAGGGGTAGATGGCTATCTGTCAGGAGAGATTTGAATGAGTCCCTCTGCAGAGGCTGAGATAGGATGAGATATAAATACCCTAAATAAATAAAAATAAATGTGAATTCCTGCCTGACCGAATGGCATTGGATTGGACGGTCCTTGTGGTTTCTTCCAAGTCTATAGATTCTATGATTGAATGTATTGTCTGGCTTTAACCCTTGAAAGTGAATGGTCCAGTGCCACAGAATGAGCTTGATAAATGAGTGGCACTCATTTTTAGAAGCATACCTCTCCCCATTCCAACAAGAGTGCAATAACAATGACTTGATGCTTGGGAGGAAGCGGTTCTACTATTTTAAAAAGAAGTGAGGGGAGAGGATGGTCATTTTTTTCAAGAGTGCTTGTTATTGAATAGCACAATTGTTTTTCTGCACCCAACTCCAGGCATACCAAGATCTGGGGTCTTTGGAAGTGAAGTTAATGACCGCAGTGGGCCAAGCCATGCCAATTCATAGCAAATCCGAACTGGAAACCACACATGACAGTAGCAGGCCAGACACTCGGATCACCTACCAGATGATCAAATCCATATTCCCTTAAAAGAAAGGAAAAGGTAACCTAATTATTCAGTGTTTAAAAAATAACCCGTTGAAGCTCTTTTTTTTGTATGTAAGTGTAACTTTAGTGGTTGAATTAAATATTAAATGATTTAAATTGGATGTTTTACCAAGAATGTTTATTGCATTCAGTATCTACATATAACAGGTGATTTTGTTGAGGGCAAGTGGAGAGAATATTGTCATTGTTATTTCTTATTTACTTCTTACTTAGGTGATCCCTCGTTGTCCGAGTAGGATAATCCTCCAGGGTGGGTCCGTAGGTGTCTGTGGAGCCCTATTCTTGACCTGCATCTTCTCCCGCAGTGAGGGCATTGGTTTCCAGGTGGAAGGCGGTCCTGGTCGGGGTTGGCTTGACGCACCTTCCTTTTGGCACATTTCTCTCTTTCACCCTCCATTCGTGCCTCTTCAAATTCTGCAGCACTGCTGGCCACAGCTGACCTCCAGCTGGAGCGCTCCCAGTTCTCAGTGTCTATGCCAGAGTTTTTAAGGTTGGCTTTGAGCCCATCTTTAAATCTCTTTTCCTGCCCACCAACATTCTGTTTTCTGTTCTTGAGTTCAGAGTAGAGCAACTGCTTTGGGAGATGGTGGTCAGGCATCCGGACAACATGACTGGTCCAGCGGAGTTGATGGCGGAGGACCATCACTTCAATGCTGGTGGTCTTTGCTTCTTCCAGCATGCTGACATTTGTCCACTTGTCTTCCCAAGAGATTTGCAGGATTTTCCGGAGGCAACCCTGATGGAATCGTTCCAAGAGTTGCATGTGTCGTCTGTAGAGAGTCCACATTTTGCAGGTATATAGCAGGGTTGGGAGGACAACAGCTTTATAAACAAGCACTTTAGTATCCCTACGGATGTCCCGGTCCTCAAACACTCTCTGCTTCATTCGGAAAAATGCTGCATTGTTATTTATGCCACTTCATGATAAAGTGTTCTGGAAGTAACACAATTACTGCTGGGGTTACACTATAGCACTATTTATTTCTGGTCGTTTCTGGAGTGAGATAATGAGCCATCTACGAAGACGTTGCCCAGGGGACGCCTGGATGTCTTGCAATCCAGCGGGGAGGCTTCTCTCATAACGCCGCCAGACTACTAGCGTAAGGCTCACAGATTGGAGGTGCACAAGTCTTGATAATCAGTTCTGAAAAGTACCCAATTTATATTGAACTGTTTGGGAGGTTGTTCAGTTTTAATGAGAAACAGATTCATGATTCAGTAATCTGATATTTAGTATCTCCTATTAACTGTTGCTGGGAATCAGCAAAAGGCTGTAACACAGGTGATTTTTGACAGAATGGAGTGGTTCTGTCAGTAATCACAGCTGCAAAATTCAAGAATCAAGCTGTTGAGAAAGGGCTGAAAAAATGAAATGCAAAGATACAGATTGGGGGATGATGCCTGGCTTGACAGCAATGTGTGAAAAAGATCGTGGGGAGGAAGGTGAACAGGTGCCAACAATGTCATGTGGCGGCAATAAAAGCCAATGGGATTTTGCCCTGTATCAATAGGAGTCTAGTGCCTGGATCCAAGGAAGTCCACTACCCCTCTATTCTGCCTTGGTCACACTGTGTCACTGGAGCCCCCAGGGGCGCAATGGGTTAAACATCTGTGCCGGCAGAACTGAAGACCAACAGGTCACAGATTCGAATCTGGGGAGAGCGTGGGTGAGCTCCCTCTATCAGCTCCAGCTCCTCATGTGGGGACATTTATTTATTTTATTTATTTACAGCTTTTATATTCCGCCATTCTCACCCTGCAGGGGACTCAGGGCGGATTACAGTGTACACATATATGGCAAACATTCAATGCCACTTTTGACATGCAAACATATACAGACATACACAGAGGCTATTTAACTTTGTCTGGCCACCAGGGGAGCTGTCGCTTTCATCGTCCATCTGCGATGCTGATGAAGTACCTCCACATTCCTCGCATGCTTCCCCGCTGGAGTGCTTCTTTATGGCCTCATAAATTAGTTAATTTTAGCCTCCCCACACTTTTAAGGTGGTACCTTATTTTCCTACTTGACAGATGCAACTGTCTTTCGGGTTGCAAAGGTCGACAACGGGCTACACAATGGTTGGAAACCCACTCCAGCCCGGGCTGGCTTCGAACTCATGACCTTTTGGTCAGAGTGATCTTAATGCAGCTGACACTCAGCCAGCTGCGCCACAATCCCGGACATGAGAGAAGCCTCCCAGAAGGTAAAACATCAAAACATCCAGGCATCCCCTGGGCATGTTTAGCTCTAAGCTGGAATGTGTCCAGAGGAGGGCGACTCAAATGATCAGGGGTCTGGAGAACAAGCCCTATGAGGAGTGGCTTCAAGAGCTAGGCATGCTTAGCCTGAAGAAGAGAAGGCTGAGAGGAGACATGATGAGAGCTATGTATAAATGTGTGAGGGGAAGTCATAGGGAGGAGGGAGCAGGCTTGTTTTCTGCTGCCCTGGAGACTAGGATGCAGAACGATGGCTTCAAACTACAAGAAAGGAGATTCCACTTGAACATTAGGTAGAACTTCCTGTGGGAACTGTTCAGCAGTGGAACTCGCTGCCCCGGAGTGTGATGGAGGCGCCTTCTTTGGAGGCTTTTAAACAGGGGCTGGATGGCCATCTTTCGGGGGTGCTCTGAATGCAATTTTCCTGCTTTTTGCAAAATGGGGTTGGACTGGATCACCCACAAGGTGTCTTCCAACTCAATGATCCTATAACTGCGCTGGGTGCCTTGAATAAATATTTGAAATGGGAAGCGGGAGAGGGTAATGCTTCCCATCCTAGTGGATTCTTTATTAAATGTATACCCTGCCTTTACATGGGAATATAACCCACACAAAATACTGGAAAACAATGTTGAAACCATAACTCTAGTTGAAACAGAAAAACCAATCAATTCTAAACATGGTTAGAAAACAATGGAAAAGAGAAAGCCATAATCTAAATTGTTAAATATCCTACAGCAGGCCAGTTTATGGGCCAATGGCCTACCTGGATAAGAAATGAAGCTGCTTCAGTTCAAATTGTTGCTGGAGAGCCTGTTAGTCAAACTATTGAAAAGATTATGCAAATTAGTCAACAATAAAACATGAGATGAAGCCACTGCTATGCCTAAGGGCCCCAATATCCTAAGCCATTGTTTAATTTAATCTTTCACCACCATTTAACAAGCTAGCAGGAAGCCTTGGCCAGAAGAAGCTGACCACTCAGAAAAGTCCAAGGCTCTTGTGAAGTGTAGTATTTACATAGAGAGAGGGAGGGAGGGAGAGATATGGGCAACATATGGTCCACCCTTTTCTGGGGCCATCTGACACTCTTATGATCACATACATTTGAATGAGAAGGGCTGCCATTCCCCTGTAAGGTAGGCATGGACATGTTTCTCAGGTTGCAATTGTCAACAGCATCTGCAAGTCTGCAAAACAACTCCAACTGTCATTTACCAAAATTGTCTGGAGATGGTGACCTAAATAAGAAGAGACCCCATACTTACTTAGGCAATCCCTCGTTGTCCGAGTATGATGGCCGTCCAAGTATAGTGTCTTGGAGTTGGATTACGTAGGTGACTGTGGAACCCTATCGTTGATCCACATGTACTTCCACAGTGAGGGCTTTGGTTTCCAGGTGGATGGTGGTTCCGGTCAGGGTTGGCTTGATGCACCTTTCTCTTGGCATGTTTCTCCCTTTCACCCTCCATTTGTGCCTCTTCAAATTCTGCAGCACTGCTGGTCACAGCTGACCTCCAGCTAGGGCACTCAAGGGCCAGGGCTTCCCAGTTCTGTGTCTATACCAGTTTTAATGGTTGTCTTTAAGCTCATATTTAAATCTCTTTTCCCATCCACCAAATTACATTTTCCGTTCATGAGTTGGGAGTATTCTAACTGCTTTGGGAGACTGTGATTGGGCATTCAGACAACGTGGCCAGTCCAGCAGAGTTGATGGCGTAGGAGTATCGCTTCAATGGTGGTGGTCTTTGCTTCTCCCAGCATACTGATATTTGTCCGCCTGTCTTCCCAAGAGATTTGCAGGATTTTTCAGAGGCAACGCTGATGGAATCATTCCAAGAGTTGAGTGTGATGTCTGTAGACCGTCCATGTTTCAGAGGCGTATAACATTGTTGAGAGGATGATAGCTTTATAAACAAGAACCTTGGTATCCCTACTTATGTCCCGATCCTGGAACACTCTCTGTTTCATTCAGAAAAATGCTGCTCTCAGAGAGCTCGGGTGGTGTTGTATTTCAGTGTCAATGTTGACTTTTGTGGAGAGGTGGCTGCCAAGATAGCAGAAATGGTCAACATTTTCTAATGTTACCCCATTAAGCTGTATTTCTGGCATTGCAGAGGGATTGGCTGGTTACTGCTGGAACAGCACTTTGGTTTTCTCAGAGGTTCAATGAGGCCGAACTTCTTGTATGCGTCTGCAAAGATGTTAACAGTGGCACTATCTGGGGATGGTGACTTAAATCAGAAGATACCCCATAATTACCATAGTTACTTCTGGTTAAGGAAACTAAGGGAAAATATGTTTCTCATGAGGCTGGGCTCCACAGCTTTTCCCATATGCATGGTGAGATAGAATTACAGGAACCCCTTGCCCCAGATCAAAGATTCACCCAAAGCTCTTGCTCCCATGTCTCTGAAGAATTTCAAATGCTCTTGGGTCAAACATTTAACACCTAAGAAGCAACCATTCCGTGACTAAGATGGACAAAGCATGAGGCAGTAAGGCTAACAATAGTATCAAGTAACCCAGATTCCTGAGCACTCCAGTGACGCTGTTTTTGTGGCAATTATGAGAGATTTGGACATAGAATTGGATAAGAAAGAGGGGCTAGAAGAGGGCATTCATAATTACCCATCAATCGCCCTTTCTCTCTCTCTTTGTAAATATGTATGATTTGTCCCAAAAGTAATGAGATTTTTTTGTGTACAGCATATACGTGCCAGGACAAGAAAGTGGGGGTTGAAGCAGGTGGAGGGGGAACCCAGACATACATTTTTACTTTCATCAGTTGAGTCCGCAACTTTGTAGCAAAGTGCTAACATGAATACTTCCTCCACTGATATGAATCATGGCAGAAATACTGGAAGCACCATATTCAATTACAAGGACCCTACTTTTCAAGAGAATGTATGTTCAATATTTTTAAAGCATTATCATTACTTTTGGGACAAACCATATATCTATAGAGGGGGGGTCTTCATCTAGAAAGCCAGAAATCAGGGCACAGTGTTCTTCCCGATGTGGAGTTCGACGTTGTAAAGCTTAGAAACATTCACTAGTTCTGTGATGGCTCCCTTCATCGGAAAGTTGGCAAAGGACCAATGGCGTAAACCTGACACAATTTGGCCATTATCCACTGAAAAGTGAATTTGCTTATTTATTTATTTTGAGTGAAGTATTTTGAGACGTGATCATTTTAAGAGATTAGCTGGCTGTGAGGACCTATAAGCAGTTTCAGTTGTGATGGCAGCTGAAGTGCATATTTTCCACGTGGACCATGAAGCTAGTGAGAAACAGCCAGGATGTCAATGCGCACTTGTTGATAAACAGCAGACTCCTTAAAGGCCAGTGGTCCCCAACCTTTTTTTAACCAGGGACCACTCTCCAACAAAACTGATTCGTAACCAAAAGGGTTACGAATCAGTTTTTGGGCAACTTTAGATGCAGTTTAGATTCAGAAAATTGCATTGGATAGACCACACCAGCTCTAGTTTCTGATACAGAACATATGCCATCAGTAGTCACCATCTGATAGCTCACAGAAAACCATATTTTATAATCTAGAACTGATGTGGTCTACACAATGCCATTTTCTGAATCAGCACCCCAAATAACCCTAGAAACAGGTCTAAAAACACAGACACCAAGGTGCCCCCGCTTCCAGGCATCACATGGAACGGCTCCGGACAAGGGGAGGGAGGACGAGGAGAAGCAGCAGTCAGGAGGCTTGTTGTCGTGGCTTTCGTGAGTAGTCAACCTCACCCCTCCCAACATCCCTGTTGGCTCGGGACTATAAGAGGGTTCAGTGAGACCAGTCACTCTCATTGCAATGGTGTAGTAACCGTGAGGCCACGGACCATATTTTAGTTCTTGGAAGCCACTGGTGGTCCACGGACCACAGGTTGGGAACCACTTGGTTATAGACCAAGGATATCAAACTCATTTTCAGCCTTATGGTTGCCTTCAAAAGGCCTTTTGTAATTGTAGGACTGTATAAATGTACAGATTATACTTTGTAATCATACAATCCTGAAAACAAAAGCCACTCACAAGTCATTGTAGATCTTCACAACATAACAAAAGTTCTGTGGAAGCTGCATTTTATTTGAAAATCCACCTTTTTTTTTTTTTGCTAACGTACATTTTAAGATTTTAAACAAAAATAGAATCTGCGGAGACAATGCAGCAAGTATGCTTAATTCATGTACAGAATTGCTTTCATACCTCTGACTATCCTTCTTAAGGCCCCAGATGCCACCCGAACTGGTATGATGTATTTACACAAGCACCGATCAACAGTGCCGCTTCAAATTATGCAGAAAAATAAAAGGACTCCTACACACCGAGAGGAGGGCACCGCACCCGGACGTTCTCTAGCACAAGCCCTCCCGAGAGCGATGCTTCTGCTGGAGAACTCCAGGGTGGATTACGCCCTTAATAAAGATGCTACTTCCCTTCTGAGATTTCATTCTATGTCATGGTACATGATCACGGAGATGGCACTAGCCAAATGAAGAGGGAGGGAGGTCAAGGCGGTTTTTCTTGTCACATAATACCTCAGAAGTTGCATGTGTCCCGTGTGGATTGTTTTTGTACAGAGAAGAAGGAAAGTCTTTGAAAGTGAAAGCAATTCCTCACATTCATTTTGGAAAGGCCGTACGTCAAGTGTAAGATAAATGACATGCCAAGCACAAAGCAAGGAAAGTTCATTCCAGAAGCACCGACGCCTGGTCAGAAATACTGTGCTCCTCCCAATCGGTCAGCTGCCCCCCCTCCTCCCCAAACCTCCTTGCCACAGTCCTTAACGGAACTGACCACTCAATACACCGACACCTCTCATTCCTGTGGAAATTTGACAACGGGTGTTTTTTCAGACCTTTGAACATACTCAGTGCTCTGTGTGGTTTGGTGCGTACTGAATGACGATGCAAGTCTCAACCAGCATCGTCCTTGTGGATAAAAACGGGAAAAGGGGGGGAAAAAGAACTCCAAAAGGGAGACATACTGTATACATCCACACTCATTTCCCCACATAGGAGACTTTGCGATACAATGTTACTTGAACTGATAATCATAAATAAATACAAACAATAATACATAAAGGAATGTCTATGCAAACGGAATATATAATTCTTTTTCTTTTAAAGTTAAACTTTTTTTTCATTATTGAGTCTAACGTTTGTGAAGATAGAAGAGAGGAAAATTGTAGAATTAGAGAATTAGGATTTGATCCCCTAGAGAAAAAGTCATTGGCGTTAATGGTAAAAGGTTGCCCAGCTCTTTGTTCCACATGGCAGTTCCAGGTACACGTTTTACCCTTCATAGGAGAACAAGAGGCTTCTTTTTTGTCTATTATCAATTGATGTTATGGAACAGATGATGAACGTTACGGACATGTTAAGTAATGGGGAGGGGGGTAGAGAAAAAAATTCCCACACCACAATTATGGCAATTCTTGGCTTTATACCGAGTGCAGGGAGGATGCCGAGGCTTCCCTATAGTGCCACTCCCACTGTTCTTGTTGTTGTTGTTGTGGGCCCTGGGTGATTTTACTGGATGATTTTGGTGAAGGAGAGTCTGAGACACCATCAGTTCTGATCTGGCTGGAAAGAAGGGTTTATCTTTGAGCACATGTCTCCCTGGAACTGTTCCCATTCCTCTCCGCTCCATCTGGCATGATCACATGAACTGTATCTGGAGAAGACAAGACAGCATCAGCATTACACATCCAAAATGCCATCTTCAGACCCTACGGCCAGCAAAACTCTCCTTTGATCATCCACAATCTTGAACATGAAATAAGGCTCTGTGGTGGTGGACCAGAAAGACAGTAATATCTATCACTGCACAATGAAAGTGTAAACCCTTTTGGGGAGGAAAAAAAGAAACTTTCTTTATTCATGCAAAGGAAGAAAAGTGTGACACTTGGTGACTTAACTCTGCCCCAATCTCACAAGACTTTTAAACATGCAATTTGTCTATGAAAACTGATGCATAGGTTCTAGCTCAATGAATTCAAACAGTAGGCTGGTACTGTTAGGATTGCAGTCAGGGGATGAGAGAACGATTCTGCAAGATAGATTTAATGCTGCACATGACAACTGACTATATTATGCAGAAAACAAATAATCTATAAAGTGAACTTTAGCACAGCTGGTTAGTCACCAGCAGCAATAAGATCACACCAATGAAAAGGTTGGCATTTCGAAGCCCGGGTTGGGGTAAGCACTCGAACTTCAGCCCAGCTCAATGTCCATCTAAGCATCTAGGTTTTGTATTGTTATATTGTGTGTTGAGGCCTTGACCTTTGTAAGCCGCATCGAGTCCTTCGGGAGATGCTAGTGGGGTACAAATAAAGTTTAATAATAAAATAATAATAAGCAGTTCCAAAACAGCTGTGAGCTGTGAGTAGAGAAATTAGGCACCACTTAAACGGGGAGGTATTTTACGGCACCATAAAAAGGAAGTACTGGCAATCAAAGAATGGAGGAAGTCTGTGATCAAGGGCTTTTTGTCATAGAGGATGGGGCGACAGCAGCCCCACCATGGTGGCCAAAATTGAGGACAACTTCCAGGATGCCAGAAGTTAGGGGAAAAATGCCGACATATACCTCTATCTGTTGTCTGTCCTGTCTCTTTAACAGTATTGAATGTTTGCCAAGTTATTATTATTATTATTATTATTATTATTATTATTATTATTATTATATGTTCTGAGATCCACCCCGAGTCCCCTTTGGGGTGAGCAGGATGGAATATAAATGCTGTAAGTAAATAAACGTTATGTTTCTACAATAAACTGAATCCTCTGAAGATGGTGAGACTTTAAACCTAGGAGGCTATGCTCAAAGTTTCCCACCGCCAACACAGTGAAGTAGGCTCACTTTCTGAACTATTACAACGCCAAAACGTTGAAATGAATGATAAAACTACAGCTGTGCCTTATTTTTCTACTGTTTTCTTTTGTTCTTCTACTTTATACTTACTAACACGCTGGATTGCTATTTGTCGTGGGTGCTTTGAATGAGATTTTCCTGCTTCTTGGCAGGGGATAGGACTGGATGGCCCACAAGGTCTCTTCCAACTCTATGATTCTCTGACTACTAAGATTTGTGGAAAAGCTGGGTTTTTTTGCATGTTGATCGAGTTAATTTACAAAAATGAATAATGTGGGATGACCAACAAGTTTGGAGTGACTGCTCTCAAAAATGGGGAGACGCAGAACCATAATAATTGCTAGCTGCTCCCTTTGGATAAAGAGCCCCTCCTTTCTTCTTCATAACGCACTAAACTTTAAAATCATTTCAACAAACAAAAGACTGGAGGTGTTATAAGGACCAGAAATTTTCTTTAACAAACGCAGAGTAATTTTCAATGTGCTACTCAGGCTCCTGCATTCCTCATGAGCTGCAATAGTTTAAATGTGGTCACAGAATCAGAGCATGCAAATCTGTGGAGAGCCCCCCCCCCCCCAATGTTTTAATGTGATAATAGGGAGGTGCTCGGGCTTATACACATATGAGACAGTCTGCACGTCGCCAACGCTTCCAGAGTTAGCATGCAATACCTAAAATTGTCCTACAAGAAATCCTGGTGGGAGAGCTCTGCAAAAGGATCCTTCCCTGAAGCTCTGTGAGGACTCTGAGTGGATGGGCTGGAAGCTGCARACAGCTGGGAGAGACGATGGCGGAGAGGAGGGAAAGAGAAAAAGAAGGCCTCAATGACAGAAATATGAAGGCAGAAAATGTAATGATGGAGGAGGCAGTTAGMAAGACAGTGCTTCGGGCTGAAGCAGCCTGGTTAAAAGAAGAAGCCTGGCTGCATGCACAGTTGAACCTGCTGCAATGGTATGGCAGGTGCTGGTTATGCTRGAAGTGAAGAAGCATCCACACTTGTATATAGAGCAGTTAGGGACAGAGGGAACCCTGTTGTGCAGGCCTGCTGTGTCTTTTTTTTTTTTTTTTTTGCACTCTCTTTCCTAGATCTATGCACTGACTATTTTGCTTCCTGTATAGTATATTTCCCTGGTTACAAGGGATCTGTAAACTCCTGTACGTTTACTATTTATTTAACAGTTGTGGGTCTGTGGACCGTAATAAAGTTCTTATTTCGCTTCCTGTCTCATATAGAGGCCACTTTCCTTTACTTCTCAGAAGTCCTTAGTGTGCTTTATTACCCTGTATTTGAAAAGGGAACAGCATCAGGCTTTATTCTCAAGATAGCTAATACACATGAGTCAGCGTTAGGGACTCTTCTTCCAAAGTTAGGTAACTTTCTTTTGTCTATGTACTCTTTTATAAGAGATGTACTCCCTGGGGTAATAAAAGTAAGTCTCTACACCTTTTTAAAACCTTACCAGAGCATTGTGCATATTTTCTCTCCTCTTTCTTACCATAACCTCATATACAGCCCTGGATACACTACACTCCAGTCCAGTGGTTTTCAACCTGGGGTCCCCAGATGTTTTTGGCCTACAACTCCCAGAAATCCCAGCCACTTTACCAGCTGTTAGGATTTCTGGAAGTTGAAGGCCAAAAACATCTGGGGACCCCAGGTTGAGAACCACTGTCTATAGATACCAAATATTCCTACAGGTTAGAGGAGGGGTCCACAAACTTTTTAAGCAGAGGGCCAGGTCACAGTCCCTCAAACAGTTGGCGGGCCAGATTATAATTCAAAAAAAATACGAACGAATTCCTAAGCACACTGCACATATCTTATTTATAGTGCAAAAACATTTTAAAAACAATACAATATGAACATTAAGAATAATTTTAACAAATATAAACTTATGAGTATTTCAATGGAAAGTGTGGGCCTGCTTTTGGCTGATGAGATAGGATTGTTGTTGTTATTGTGTGCTTTCAAGTAGTTTCATACTTAGGTTGACCCTGAGCGAGGGCCGGGTAAATGACCTTAGAGGGCCGCATCCAGCCCCCGGGCCTTAGTTTGAGGACCCCTGGGTTAGAGAATGGCCAAGGTTGCTGTGGTGGCACAACGGATTAAACCGTTGTGCTGGCTGAACTGCTGATCTGAAGGTCGGCGGTTCAAATCCGCAAGATGGGGTGAGCTCCCATCTGTCAGCTCCAGCTTCTCATGCATGGGCATGAGAGAAGCCTCCCACAGGATGGTAAAACATCCAGGCGTCCCCTGGGCAACATCCCTGCAGACAGCCAATTCTCCCACACCAGAAACGACTTGCAGTTTCTCCAGTTGCTTCTGACACAATAAAAAAAGAGAGAGAATGACCAGAGCCAAGGTGAATTGGAGGCAGCTGGAAGAAATTATCAGCACCTCGGACAGTGGTCAGACACACTATCTCAGGTCCAATCACATACTACAGCATTGCCACTGGCCAGTAATGGGGGCCAGGGCAAGGCAACCTTTGCTAGACCTCTGACTTCTTTGGTACTGGCACATTAAACAAGGTCAGCCTGCAGCATCAGCTGCTAAAAGCAGCAAATATTTGTAGAAACACCAAGAATTCTTATCTGTTCTATCTGAAGGCTTGAAGCAAACCTATCCCATTGGGAAGAATGCAATGGGGTTAGACTCAATCAATCTCATATGGCAATTCTGACCTGATAAATTTTACTATAACATTGATTTCTGGCTACTAAACTTTACTTTCTAAACCTATTTGTCTTGTATTCATATTGTATGATGTAGGTTCTCAAAACAGCTGCTGTCCCATTTTTATATCAGTCTAGCCTCTCTCCAATGTTCTGGCTTAGTCATCTTCTAATTTCCTCCCATCTTATGAAGATGACACCTTCTGTAAGTTATCAGAACTGCTTTCTACATCTTAAATAAGAAATAGTTGTTGCTGATGACGCAAATTCATGTTGCTACAATTATAGGGAAAATCAGTATACAAGCAAAGCATCTTTCGGATTACTTTTCACCTGGCAATGCGGAATACACTGGTGACGGAATATATATATGGGATGCTGGAGATGTATGTGATGCCTTCACATGAAGTATGAAGGGGGGAAGGAGAGAAGGGGCAGGTATCCAATCACAAAACCACAACTGATTGTCCGTTCAGAAATTAGTAATTAGTAACACAACACAGTCTTTGCATGCAAGGAGTTCCAGGTTTAAATTGATGCCACCTCCAAGTAAAAGCTTCAGCACCAATGATAAGAAATCATCTTGTGCAGGACAGAAGAAGTAATGCAGGGCTAACATTACTTCTGTCCTGCACAAGTTGGCATTGGCTAACTTCCTACCTCCTCTGAGGGGAACCAGATAAAAAGGAAGGATTCTTGTTTGTGAATCTATTACTACACCTACCTAAACCAATCATGCCATAATGGGCATATTCATTTAGAGGCCCATCTCACTGTGTTCACTGTTCAATTCCAAGTATACACAGAACTGCAAAGCCTTGGGACAAGAAATTAAACTGACAATCTTTAAATTAACTGTCTTGTCTTCTTCAAATTGTCATTTTACTCTTGTACTCATGGCACACTGTGGCCTTTCACTCACCCCAGATGCAAGGACATCCCTCCCCTTTTCACTGGGGCCCCTTCCATACAGCTGAATACAATCCCACATTTTCTGCTTTGAACTGGAATATATGGAAGTGGACTCAGATAATCCAGTTCAAAGCAGATACTGTGTGATTTTCTGCCTTGATATTCTGGGTTATATAGCTGCGTGAAAGGGCCCTGGATCAACACCATACCATTTTATCCTTCAAGAGTCATTGTGATGATACAATCTATTCAAACTCTATAACATCTCGACTAACTTAGACACCAGGTGTTGTGTGTGTGTTCAAAACAAACACTGAATTTGATATTCTTGCATTTTCTGTTATCTATATCTATAATTTCTTGAAGAGCGGAAGAAACCTTTTCGTCTGTTGTTTAGTCTAATCAGTCACCCTCAAGATGAGTTATATTCAAAACATGGGGCACACAGTTTTTCTTACATTCCTGAAGTCCTCTTCTAACATTTTTTGTATAAATATTTGGTGCCTTCCTGCTACTACAGAGGAAGAATTCACCATGCGGGGGAAGCACAACATGGGATCCATTTAGCTCAGTGGTTCTCAACCTGTGGGTCCCCAGATAATAATAATAATAATAATAATAATAATAATAATAATAATAATAATACAACTTTATTTATACCCCGCCACCATCTCCCCAAGGGACTCGGAGCGGCTTACATGAGGCCAAGCTCAACAGTACATCAATAAACAAAAGCAATAAACAAAACAGTAAATACAATTAATCTAAATCACATATAAACAATAACCAAAAAACAGTAACACACAAAGATTAAAAACCTATGTAATTGTTTACAAATTAAAAAAATAAACACTGGGCATGAGCAAGGTATGATATAACTTGTATAGGATTTTCAAAGAGAGATGAGGGAACGCAGTCAATCCTAACCTGGTAGTAAAGTGCATTCTGAAGGCATATTGCTGAGAGTTTTCTTTATTCTGGGAAGGCACACTGGAACAGCCATGTTTTCAAGCTCCTCCTAAAGACTGCCAGGGTTGGGGCATGCCTGATGTCCTTGGGAAGTGAGTTCCAGAGTTGGGGGGGCCTTAAACTCACAGAAATCCTAACATCTGGTAAACTGACTGGGATTTCTGGGAGTTGTAGGTCAAAACACCTGGGGACCCACAGGTTGAGAACCACTGATGTAGCTCTACTTAAGTAAAATGTCTGAAACTTCTCATGACTTGTTGTAGCTGCTAGCAGGTGTTGCTAACAGTTCTAACAGATGCTGCAGTTGCCCAGTTTAACCTTCCCTCAAGACCAGACTGCTTCTCAGACAGGACTGCAACGACAGAACAACAGCACCACATCTATGAAGCAACAAGCTCTCCATCCATGGCTGTAGCAGCTGCTGGAGACTCCTCATTGTAACTCTGAAAAGGAGACGTGAACTGGGACACAGGCGTTTGAGTGTATGAATCCAGGTCAGGAATTAATATTTTTCTTCCTGTGTGTTTGGAGGTGAGGAACTAAATGTGGAAACGAAGAGGAAGAATAAATGCCACAGATGGTTACAATGGAAGGGGAGGAGACAGTGTAATGAATGATCATGTTCAGTTTCATGGCACTGATGGAAGCTGAGGCTCATCCACTCAAGTTAGTTTTGAAACACATTTGATTCCCATTATGCGGAGGGCTCCTCCACCCGCGTCCATGTAGCTTAAATAACAAAACACCTGCCAATACCAACAAGTGACCGAGAAGGAGAGGCTTTTCCAGAAGCCAAGCAAGCACAGTGCACAATGCCTCTAGTGTGAAAAAACAGAAGACAGAGTGAAGGCCCAACACTGCCAAAACTTATGGCACCAACAAGCTCCCACAACGGGCCTTTGTTTCCTCCTCAAGAATCACTAATAAATCTGACATCAGCAAAGTCAATCCAAGCACAAGGAGGAAGGACAAAACTCTCAATCCAATGGCCAGCTCAGCAAGTGCCTCAATTACGAATATGCTGCCAATCCCATGTGTGGTTTCCACAGGAAATGTATTTCTCCACCCTTTAAGAACACAGTCAGGGCCCAGCTATCCAGGTGTTTCAAAAGGGAACATGGTACAAATCCCTTTCAAGCCATATCAGTCATGGATATCTGTGGGGAGGACAGAAGCAATAGCAGTGTTCCCAGGATTCACCTGGATTTCCTTTCTACAATGATTCCATCCAAAGGTACAGACTGTGAGGAAGAACATACAGTCCATTTTAAAAAGTGCACCAAGAGGACAACATTCCTCTATTCCAAATACATATATGTTAGAACCCACAAGGGAATAATGCTTCTCACCGTGTATGCAAGCAGCCTCAAAACTGCATGCTCACCCCAACCTAATCAGCAATCATGCACTTTCATACAAAAGTTGTGCTAATTAAGAGAGAAAGGTGTCACATCAGGAATATGTCTTTAAAATGAAACTGTCAACTCTCTCCTCTTTTTAATTAAAAACACACACACTAAACTTTATATATCTATTCCCCTGCATGAGTCCTCTGTATGTGCTTTTTAAGATCACATCTTCTTAATTCCTGTACCATCCTCTCCTCCCTGCCAAGATGCCTCTTTTCTTAAAATCTGCTTTAAAGGAGACCTTCTTATGATTCCACTTTCCTCAATGATATGAAAACGTCCGAGTCTTGTCAGAGCCTCTGTATTATTAACTTTTTTTGCAACTGTCTCTGCAGAGCCCATTTCATGTCTGAAGCAGAAACATCATGCTTCCAGACAAGACAACAGCATATGCCATTAAAACACAGGAATACAGCATGCAATAGATCATGTTCTTGTGCTGCTGGAGACTTAAAGCTTTAGAGTCCAATTCAATACCCACCTGGGCTCCCGATACAGGGCCAAAAGGATTTGGAGGTCTCATGACAGGTTGGCTGTATATTAAGGTTGGTTGTGTGAGTACTGGTACTCCTCCCATTTGAGATGGCTAAAATCCAGAAGAGCACAGAGTTAATTTTATATACACCTTTTTAAAATCACCAAGAGACAAGAATACTTCCAATAATCAGTTCACAGTGCTGTAGATAAAACATTTAGAAAATATCAGTATTTAAAAAACTCTAAAATTACAACAGCAAAACAATAGAGAGGAAACAATCAGGGACAGCTAATCACATCTCAACAAAAGATTCCCCCAGGCACTAACAAGCCACACCAAACAACAGCAAGGCCATCAAATGCTAATCAAGGTGGTCAGTTGAAATGTTCAAACCTAGCTCCAGCAGTTAAGAGTTCTTTGTCCCACCCTGGTCATTCCACAGATATATAAACCCTTTTTCCTAGTTCCAACAGACCTCACAACCTCTGAGGATGCATAGATGCAGGTGAAACGTCAGGAGAGAATGCCTCTAGAACATGGCCATATAGCCCGAAAAAACCTACAACAACCCAGTGATTCCGGCCATGAAAGCCTTTGACAATATATCAGAAGTGTTTTGGATTTAAAATCACCACTAAAAGAGCACTAGATGTACCTCTCCTGAATGCTAGTTCTTTTCTCATAAGCACCTTCACTCCCTCAGGACTGATGAGTGATAACAAAGCTTTAGCACTGCTGGTTAATCACCAGCAGCAATAGATCACACCAATCGAAAGGTTGGCAGTTCGAAGACTGGGTCGGGATGAACATCCGACCTTCAGCCCAGCTTACTGTCCACCTAAGAAGTTCAAAAACAGCTGTGAGTAGAGAAATTAGGCGCCGCTTAATAGGGAGGTATTTTACAGCACCATAAAGGAAGTACCAGAAAATGCCAGCGATCAAAAGGAGGAGAAAGTCTGTGATCAAGGCTCTTCATCATAGAGGATGGAGCAACAAAACCGCCATGTGGGCAAAATCTAGCACAACCTCCAGGACGCTGAAGTTGGGAAAAATGCCAACATAATCTGTTGTCTGTCCTGTTTGTTTAACAGCATTGAATGTTTGCCATGTATGTGTTTTGTGATCCACCCTGAGTCCCCTTCAGGTGAGAAGGGCGGGATACAAATGCTGTAACTAAATAAATAAACAAGTTCCATGTTTCATCCATATATAAGATGCTTTGATGGAATCAGCTAAACCTAAAACTTTTTTGAAATACCAATTTTAAAAATAGAAGTCTTTGGATATGCCTTTCTTTATACACTGACTGCAGCTAAATTTGAAACTATACCACACTCCATGTTCAACAATAGTGTATATGTATGTGCAACCATCTATATTTGTTGTATTTTGCATGCAGTTTCAAAAATGTATATCCTGAATTCCCACAATTAAAAACGTGTAGGTCTACCTGATCTGAAAACAATAAAATTGGTTAAACAAGCTAAACCACAAAGAGACACAATAGCAGCTGTAAACTCATTACAATAGCCGATCTGTCAGGTGTGCAGCGGTTTGTTTGTAGAACACTCCACTATCTTCCTCCCTACCACCGGCTCTACAAATAAACAGCAGAGAAAAGCAATGCTAACAGCCAAGACAAACATTAATCTTACACAAAATAAAAATTACTTACCATCCCATATCCCATCATTCCTGTTGGTGTTGTAGCAGGATAAGCCATGACAGGTGGTGCCTAATCAGAGAAAAAGAATGTTAAACTTAATAAAAGAGGTAAAAATAAGTTCTCCGAAACAGTAATGACTTGGCTAGACTAGGAAAGTGAAGTGACAGCTAATTTCCTGATTTACCAAGACAGCCATTAACTGGCACTCAAGCAACTTCCTCGAAAGTTCACATTGCTATCCTCATAGGGAACTCTTTCCTTTTTAAGTTGAATACAGCTGAAAATACCCAAGGTCGCACATGACAGCTGGTGCCCAGCCATGACAAGGTAGAGTGGCATGTTCCCATAGAGGCTTAACTGATAATATGTGCAGTGATTACATTTTGGGAAAGGAGCTTACAAAAAGCACAAATGGAGGTGCTGTCAACTCATTTTTAAAGCTGCATAAAAACCACAATGAGGAGCTTCACTCAGCCACAAGGAGCCTGAATAACACCTGAATGTCTTTCCTTTTCCTTTTATCTAACGGACTGAAAATTTTATCAGTATCAGTGCAAAATAGTTTTGATCAAGAATTTAAACCGTGACATGTTTTTATATTGAAGGTTTTTTATATGGAAGGCATAAATTGTTAGTTGACTTTTAAGATATTACAATTAATATCCGGAGTTTTGAAGTGCGGTGCCACGTCTATGCAGACGACACCCAACTCTATCACTCCTTTCCACCTAATTCCAAGGATGCTGTCCTGAGACGAAACCAGTGTCTGTCATCGGTAATGGACTGAATGAGGTCAAACAAATTGAAACAGACAAGACAGAGGTGCTCCTGGTCAGTCGGAAGGCAGATCAGGAAATAGGGATTCAGCCTGTGCTTAATTAGATTACACTCCCCCTGAAGACCATAGTTTGCGGGTCCTCCTGGACTCAATGTTATAATTGGAGGCCCAGATATCTGTGGTGGCAGGAGGGCCTTCAAACAATTAAAACTTGTGAGCCAATTGCGCCTCTTCCTTGAGAAGCCAGATCTGGCTATGGTGGTACATGCTTTGGATACATCCCATCTGGATTACTGTAATGTGTTTTATATGGGGCTTCCTTTGAAGAATGCTTGGAAATTTCAGCTGGTTCAAAGAGCTGCAGCCAGGTTGCTAACTAGGGCTTGGTATAGGAAGCACAATTATTTTAACAGGACGACACTGGTCATGCTATGTTTTTAATGGTTTTCATAATATTAGGTTGAATGTTTTTAATTGTACGTTATTAATGTATGGCAGGGGTCCTCAAACCAGATGCGGCCCTCCAAGGTCATTTACCCAGCCCTCACTCAGGGTCAACCTAAGTCTGAAATAACTTGAAAGCACACAACAACAACAATCCTATCTCATCAGCCAAAAGCAGGCCCACACTTCCCATTGGAATACTAATAAGTTTATATTTGTTAACACTGTTCCTCATTTTAATTATTGTATTGTTTTAAGTGTTTTTTACACTACAAATAAGATATGTGCAGAGTGAATTCATTCTTTTCATTTTTCAAATTATAACCCGGCCCTCCAACAGTTTGAGGGACTGTGACCTGGTCCTCTGTTTAAAAAGTTTGTGGACCCCTGATGTATGGCATCAAATTCTGCCAATTTCTGTAAGCCGCCTTGAGTCGCCGTAAGGCTGAGAAAGGCGGGCTACAAATGCCGCAAATAAATAAATAATAAATTAAGTACATCTATTTGCACCTTACCTAGCTGCTAGCATTCACCCAGTTAAATTGCTGTGTCCCCCCCAACAATTTTAACCTAATTTTAGAGGTTTTAAATGATATTTTAAGGATTCAATATGTTAGTAATTATGTGGATTATTTTATGTCTTGTTTATTTATGTCCATTTATAATTTACTGAGTTGTTCTTGATTTGTTAACGGCGCTCCATACAGTCATGCCAGTCACATGACCTTGGAGATGTCTATGGACAACGCCGGCTCTTTGGCTTAGATATGGAGATGAGCACCACATCCCAGAGTCGGACATGACTGGACTTCATGTCAGGGGAAAACCTTTACCTTTTCTTGATTTGTTTATATATTACTATCGGCATTGAATGTTTGCCATTGTGTATTTTGTTGTGAGCTGCCCTGAGTCCATTCGGGAAGATAGGGTGGGCTATAAATAAAGTTTCATTTCATTTCTCCTGTTGCAGCAGCTCCATTGGCTGCCACTTTGTTTCCAGGCACAATTCAAAGTGCGGGTTATGATCTTTAAAGCCCTAGATGGCTCAGGTCCAGGCTATTTGGCTGACCGCATCCCCTTGTACGAACCTGCCCAGGCCCTGAGATCTTCATGAGATGCTCTTCTCTTGATTCCACCTCCATCTTAAGCACACTTGGTGGGAATGAGAGAGAGGGCCTTCTCAGTGGCTGCCCCTCGACTATGGAAGTCCTTATCCAGGGAAGCCAGAATGGCCCCTTCCTTGCTGTCCTTCTGGCTGCAGGCTAAAACCTTTTTATTCAGGAAGGCTTTTAAAGAAGCTTTTAAAGATAAAGTCAGGGGTTGTTGTGGTTTTTAGCTTTGTTTGTGTTTTATTAATTTTAACTGAACCCTTTATATTTAATTCTATTTGAATGTGTGTATATTGGCTGATTTTAAATTGTGGAGAGAAAAAGTGGGGTATAAATAAAAATAATAATAGGCAAATTACAAAAAAAAAATTAAATATAAGAATATAATTACAGAAGAGAGGATATCCTCTCCATGTTTGAGTCCCAATCTTCAAAGTAACCTTGACTAAAAATCTTTCAGTAAAGAGGAAGGATGTAAGTACATAAGTAGAAATTCCACTCAAAAATCTACCTTTGACAAATTCTCACATCATAATCAAGAAATCTTTAAAAATGAGTAAAAATTGCCATACAATATGGTAACTTAAGGAAAAATGCCTGACTATACAATCCACACTGGGACTTTATCCTGTGCAAATCCTACCAAAGCTAAGGGGAAGAAATACAAAAGCACAGTTGACACTTGACATAGTAGCATTTCTTCAGGAGGTTTAACCCCCTGCAAACAAAATTGACCTGGAAAAGGTGGAGGAGAAAGGAACAACATAGCTTTTCAGAAATCATTGCTCCCGTGAGTTAAAATATCCACTGGACAATGGGATTTCTCATCTTGCGACTGGCTATCATGGTTAATGAAATGATACAGCAATTAATACTCATAAAGCTAAAGAAGCAAAGTATTATGCATATGCAAACATATGGCCATACAGTTGCTGGGCTGTTTAAGTGCTTAAGGATAGCTTAGGATTTTCCCCACAATGAAAAGAACACAGGGAAAGACCAACAGTAACACGCAAGGAAAAACAAATTATGCGGGAGTGAGATAACACTATAATTATACCTATAATTATATGAGCTAAAGAAATAAATGTGTTGTTGAAGTCTTTCATGGCCTGAATCACTGGGTTGCTCTAAGTTTTCCAGGCTGTAGGCCATGTTCCTGAAGCATTCTCTCCTGATATTTCACCCACATCTATGGCAGGCATCCTGAGAGGTTGAGAGGTCTGTTGGAAACCAGGCAAGTAAGGTTTATATATCTGTGGAATGACCAGAGTGGGAGAAAGAACTCTTGCCTGCTTGAGGCAAGTGTGAATGTTGCAATTGGCCACCTTGATTAGCATGTAATGGCCTTGTAACTTCAAAGCCTGGCTGATTGCTGCCTGGGGGAATCTTTTGTTTGGAGGTGTTAGCTGGCCCTGATTGATTCTCGTCTGGAATTCCCCCGTTACTTTTTATTTACTGTCCTGATTTTAGTGGTTTTTAATACTGGTAACCAGATTTTGTTCATTTTCATGGTCCTCCTTCTGGCTAAAATTGTCCACATGATTGTGGATTTCTGGAACATGGCCACACAGCCCGGAAAACACACAGCAACCTAAAGAAATAAAGCCATTACATTTACGGATATGAAACAATTAATAATATCCAAAGTTCGATGTGTAAAGCAAATAAGTATTTGGAATAAGTTACAAATATTAGTGACTATCCTTTAGCTCTTATTGCGTCTTGTCACCAATTAGGCTTACTGACCATTTGTGTGCGACTGAGTTGTCATTTTAACTACTATTATTTGATGGTTTTTGTACAGAAATGAGATGGGACTCTTTAAAAGGAGAATTCAAAAATCATGATCGACCTTTTAAGGATCAATTCACCCTTCTTTATCGTTTTGGGACCTATTGGTCTCTCCCCATTTGAAAAGAAGTCTATACATAGTGGAGTGTGAATAGAAGCCTGTGAGGTTCCATGCAGTAGTTATTCACACGCACAAATGCCTTTTTTATTTACTTTATTCAAATGCATTAAAAAAGGCCATACGGACACGCACACCCACACCAGCTCTCCGGCAGCAAATGGCAGAGTTGAAAGCAAGAAATAAAAAATCATCGTAAGATTTTTCCATGCCGTCATTGGCGTCAAGAGACCTGCAGGACACCCGTAAGATCTGGAGCCCCTCAAGATTTCCAACATGCCCAAAGATCTTAACATAAGGAGAATGTGAAAGAGCAGGATTATGAGGTTCTGCTGTAGTGGTTAATATCAGCATGCCGATTTGATTGCAAATAAAGGCTGCAGGTTTTGTTCACTTACGTATTGTGGAAAATGCATGCCATTCTGTTTTTCCCCGGAAGAACAATTACATAATGCAATAACACTGGATTAGAAATGAGTACTTACACAACAGAATATACACAAGAGCATTTTAGTCACAAGTGCGCTTAACAACCCTGAAAACACACATTCTTATAATCCAAAGCCCTTTATATGAAGCATCTGGTAAAAAGGACACTGACAAGGTGGATGAGCCCACAACCAAATATTGCACTTGTTTTAAACATGTTTTTTGAGTGAAAACATGGATTTCAAAAATAATAGAATCCACCCATTAAAGGCCAAGCATACACAAGGAAACCAGAGGACAAATGAGTTAAAGCAGAAGATGAAGCAAACAGGTTAGTCCTTCCTGTCCTAACATTACAAATTTTAGGAACTCTAACTTTGGATGTGCCAGAATACAAATTTTATCCTGTATCACAAACACATGGAATGTGTCCAGAGAAAGGCGACTCAAATGATCAAGGGTCTGGAGAACAAGTCATATGAGGAGTGGCTTAAAGAGCTGGGCATGTTTAGCCTGCAGAAGAGAAGGCTGAGAGGAGACATGATAAGGGCCATGGATAAATATGTGAGGGGAAGTCATAGGAAGGAGAGAGTAAGCTTGTTTTTTGCTTCCCTGGAGACTAGGATACGGAAAAATTTTAATATATTGCTGATGGTTGATTGTTTTATGATGTTCAGCATCCTATGATGCTTTTGTGAGACGGCCCTGAGTCCCCCCTCGGGGGTGAGAATGGTGTGGTAAAAATATGGTAAATAAATAAATAAATAAAATTGCTTCAAACTACAGGAAAGGAGATTCCACCGGAACATTAGGAAGAGCTTCCTGACTATGAGAGCTGTTCAGCAGTGGAACTCTCTACCCCAAAGTGTGGTGTAGTCTTCTTCTTTGGGGGCTTTTAAACAGAGGCTGGATGGCCATCTGTCGGGGGTGCTTTGAACGGGATTTTCCTGCTTCTTGGGAGAATGGGGTTAGACTGGATAGCCCATAAGGTCTCTTCAAACTCTGATTTTATGATCCATGAACTGGACCTAGCATTACAATGGTTTTCTATGTGCAGAGATTGGAGAAAGCCTCTGCAGTAGGGCATAGTACAATTCAGAAAGAGCAATTATCACATAATCATCTGGCTCTGGAAGTACTGTTACTAATTTAGAAGTAACAATCTTTGTACAGGAGCAGTTAGCAGTGAACTATGAGTCACTAGAGGAATTAGAACTTCCCAATTATCTGCCCATCACAATTTCACTGGAGATTGAAATCCCCAGAGAAGAGGGGAAGACCCTTTCCTGCTCATCTTACTTGAAAACTGGTCATGTATAGAAACGTCTAACTCTTCTTCCCTCCCAAAGCTGGAATAACTAAAAGGGAGAATCAGCCAGCACAGAAATGAATAGGCTTTGCTCTCTTTCTGATCCATCCCAGTATAACATTCCTATGATCTCTGCAAATGCATAGCTAAAAATGAGCCTTTAGTTCCCATTTTAGAGTACAAAAATAGCAGCAGAAGTGGGCCACGTTGTCCAGAAGTTAGTACATGCTTAAAACACACAATTTCAGAAGCACCTCAAAATCTGGGAAATTACTTCAGTCCCCCTCTTATGTGAAAGTGATCTGATGGTCCATGGATACTGACTTTAAGACAAATGACCAACGACCACTTCATGTGATATGCCCTTAACTGATATCTATGTAGTGATCTGGGCCTCTAAATTGCTCTCCTGTCCAAATTCTTGGGCTAACTCACTTTCCAAATACATTCTGAGCTGCTGAAATTATGACTAGTATTGCTTACCATTGTTGGGGCATTCCATGCTGTCGTGGGCGCAACTTTGGGTTGCCAGTTGGTGCCTCCTGTTAGTTTCTTTTCTCCTGGCTGTGTCCAATTCACATCACTTGAAACAAATATTTTAACATATTAACACTTGGATATTATTTTCTAGCTTGCTTTCTTGCAGATGAAGTACAGAAGAACAAAAAAGTTACAGCCAAATCTGTCTGTCTTCTCCACAAGTATCAAAATCTTGGAAAAAAACCTGTAAAAGCCTTCAAAAATAGCTGAAATTTTTAAAAAATGAAAGTAGACAAACTTTAGTCACATATTTCTAACCTGAGGTGAACAACATATCACTATCTTCAACATGATGTTGAACAAGCCAAATAGGTCAGACAGAAGGCAAATAGGCATGAAGAAGTTTAAATGCAGGAGGTAAAGCTGAGGATGTACTTAAATGAGACACCATGGTTAATTCTGAGAGGCAGTGATAGTCCCAAAACTGTGACAGATGTTGTTTTCGGAAGTCTATTTGTCCACCTTCAGGTCTCGTCTCTCTAAAAGGGTTTAGTACACCCCATAACCCCATTGGTTTAGTTCAGGAACACTTTCAGAAAAAGAAACTCTAAGGAAGGCATAGTGACATAGTGACAGCAGTGCTCTCTCCTTTCCTACCAAAGTTACCGTATATACTCAAGCATAAGCTGACCCGAATAGAAGCCGAGGCATTTAATTTTACCACAAAAAATGTAATAATAACAATAATAATAGAGAAAAATAATAAATGTAATAATACCAATAATAAATAGTCAAATAATAAATGTAATAATTTCAATCATGGAGTAAAGTAATAAATGTAATACTAATAAGAGTAAAATAATAAATGCAATAAAAAATAATAATGGAGCAAAATAAAGGAAATGTAATAATAATAGAGTAAAATAAATGTAATAATACTAACAATAATAAATAGAGTAAAATAATCAATATAATAACTAAAGCCCTAAATGGCCCCAGCCCAGTTTACCTTTCCAAACGCATCTCCCTTTACAAACCACCATAAAGACTAAGATCTTCTGCGGAGGCCCTGCTCTTGGTCCCATCACTGTCACAGGCGTGTTTGGCAGGGACAGGAGACAGGGCCTTCTCAGTGGCTATGGAACTCCCTTCCTGGTAAGACTAGATCAGCCCCCTCCCTCCTGTCCTTCAGAAAGATGGTAAAGGCCTGGCTGTAGGGCCAAGCCTTTGGGGCAGTGCAATGAGATAATAATAGGAAACCTACTCTGCTGATCGGAGCCAGTATTTATTTATTTATTTACAGCATTTTTACCCCGCCCTTCTCAACCCCGGGGGACGGGGGACACGGGGTGGGACTCAGAGTGGCTAACACAGAATAAAACCATAAATACATACAGAGTTAAAACAATAGCAATTAATTAAAACCAATTATCATAACAGTCATTAAAACAATGGTGTTTGGTGTCTTGAGATGGTTTTAAGCATGGTGTCTTGAGATGGATTTAAACAGCTGATTTTAAAGTAGATATAAGTGATTTTAATGTTTGTGTATATTTATAGTTTTATGTCCCGGCATTGAATGTTTCCTGTATATATGTTGTGCTCCGACCAAGTCCCCTTCAGGGTGAGAAGGGGCGGAATATAAATGTTTTAAATATGGTAAATAAAACTATTAATAATAACAGAGTAAAATAATAAATAATCTTGATTCGAGTATAAGCCGAGGGAGGCTTTTTCAGCCTAAAAAAAGGCTGAAAAACTCCATCTTATATTCAAGTATATACGGTACTACTTCTGAGTGTATGCAGAATACTCATTGCTCCCACAATCAATTTAATCAAGGAATAACAGCCTGGATTTGCCATAAAATGCTGCTGAGGAGATGTGCTGTGTTAAATTCTCTATTAAGATATACTCACTTCTTAGTTGTTCCATTTCCAATGCCCAAATCTGTTAGAAAACAAAACAAAAAATTATTAGACGCAACTGTTTTTTTTTCCCTTTCCTTTTTTGGGAAAAGGCTTAACAAGAGGGTACTGTAAAGCTTGCACAAAAAACACTTACTGCCCACAAGATTGGCTAAAGATGAATCCAGATCATCCAAGACTAACTTGTTTGGTGGTGTTTTGGAAATTGGAAGACTCTGATTTTGAGAAGTCACTGTTGGTTTTAGGAGTCCACCCAATTCATCAAATCCTTACAAAAAGAAAGCAGGGTGCATTAAGTATCATTATTACATATTTTAAAATATTAAAAATTATTTTTGTATGATAAAGTTTCAAAGTACTTTAGAAGAAACTGTTCTCCAATGTTTCCAGGTGAAAAACAAAAGTAGGCTGATGTTGATTCTTTTGCAAGAAAGAAATCTTACTACAATACACTTGGAATCCATGACCCAAAAAAGAAGTGCCAGAGCAGTAATAATATTGCTTCATTGCAGAAAAAAGTACTGAGATGCTATATAGATTCATTGCAGCATTTTTTTTATTTTTGCGTGTTAATGTCTATATGTCAGTTATATTAATTGTACTGTTTTATTTGCTTATTGCTTTGTTATTTACTGATGTGTTGTTGGGCTTGGCCTCATGTAAGCCACCCCGAGTCCCCTTGGGGAGATGGTGATGGGGTATAAATAAAGTATTATTATTATTATTATTATTATTATTATTATTATTATTATTATTACCATTTGTGAACCAGGAACTACAACATTTGGGGAGAGTGCACCATCAATGAACATTCAGGTTTCCCATGAAGTCATCTGTTATAGTTCAGCCTGTGATTGTGCCTGATGTTCACAATTGGAATAGGGATGAAGGGTTTTCTGGGCCTTGGCCTGTTGGCAATGGGGACGAGGGCTTGCCTGGGCCTGAGTTAAGCCCAGACAAGAGACCCGAGGTGTTTCATGAAGATTCACAAGGTCACATTCCTGGGAGAGGCCTTCAACAGTCTTTCTCTGAGAAACTATCTTCTGAAGATGATTTATCAGGTGCAGAATTTAAGGAGAGTGAAGACAGAAAGCAAGACTTTTGTAAACAGAGACAAAATTCTCAGGCACAATGAAGGTCAATTTGTTTGCAGGAAAAGCAAGATAAGAAACCCTTATCTGGTGTAAGGGCAAGAGCAGTAGGTTCCTGTAGGTTCTGGGGTCTGCAAAAGCTTTACATTGATACATGGGAAAGAACTGTCTCAGTCTCAACAACTTTGGAATTTCATGACGGTCTGGTTTCCAAGTGTTCCTAGTTTCATGTTCCAAGTTTTGCCAGGCTCCTGATCTGTGTATTGGATTTTCATGCTGCCTTGTTCTATGGATTCTGAACCTTTGCATCTTGTATTTTACATTGTGCCTTGAAGCTCATGGACTATCCTTTATCTTGGGACTATACTGTTTTGACCATTTTTACTGCTTTGCCTACATATAGTCTTCAATAAACTACTTGCTGATTTTACCAAGCTGGTGTGGTGTTTAAGGTCAGAGGTGTTCCTTCTATAGTGTTCAACATCGCCCATAAATCCAAAAAATGGAAGTATTGCACTGTTTTGACATGTCCAGACAATTTAACACAACACAGTGACATTCCCCCCTTCTTTGCTCAATAGTACATAACTGTTACTTGGAAGACCTACCACTAGAATCCACTGGTACATTTGAAGTTTTGTTTCCAAACACAGACTCAAAGTCAACGTTAAGGCTTGCAGAGGGCTGCGATGGAGCAACAGGAGATGGAGAGAACCCTATAAAAAGACAATGAAGCAATGCTAAGCTCGTTTATATGCACTACATGAAGTCTCAGCTTCCATACAAACAGCAGCTAGGTGAGCATAAACAGATGATGGATAGACACTGGAAGAGATGTCTGTGTCTGCAAGAACTGCATGTTATGTGACTCAGAGGAAATGACACATTCAATACTGCTTGTTGCATATAAAATGGGTGGAAGTATTTTGAGGACCAACTTCTAAAACTGGATTGTGGTGCAGCTAGTTAGTAACCGTGTGCATTAAATCACTACTGACCAAGAGGTCATGAGTTCGAAGCCAGCCCAAGTCGGAGTGAGCTCCCGACCATTAATAGTCTAGCTTGCCGTTGATCCATGCAGACTGAAAGATAGTTGCATCTGTCAAGTAGGAAATTTAGGTACTGCTTTATGCGGGAAGGCTAATTTAACTAATTTACGACACCATAAAACCTTCCAGCAGCGTGTGTAAGAATGAGGAAGTACTCCATCAAGGACTTGGTGTTATAAGTGGACAGTGAAGCGGCAGCTCTCCCTGTGGCCAGAATTGAGCATAGCCTCATGAAGCCGGAAAGCTGGAATGTTAAATTGCCTCTGTGTCTGTCTATATATGTTGTGTGTCTAATGGCTTTAAATGTTTGCCATGTATATGTGCATTGTAATCTTCCCTGAATCCCCTGTGGGGTAAGAAGGACGAAATATAAATACTGTAAATAAAAAATAAATAAATAAAACTAAAGTTCTATGGTGTTGATAAGTTTCTCATTTCCAGCGTTCTCTTTCATGCAGAAAAAGTTCAATTCTTCAAAAGAAAGGGACCTCTGATGGAAATTGAGTGTCAACCGCTACGCTATTTGAGAGTCATTTGCTGTGGAGGCCTTCAAAGCTTCCAATTTCAGTTCATTACTTCCAAATCTGTCACCCCTGTTCTTGAGGAGTATCCAGAATTGCAGACTCTGGTTCTCCTGACTTTGTTGTCTCTATTACCATTTCCCAGGCCTGGCAGCTTTTAAGGCAGCTATGCCACAAAACCACAAACAGTTCATTGAGACTCAGAACCTACATCACATTTACTTCAACTCTAAGCTTCTGCACTAAGTGTCCATAAATTCAAGTCAGTCACGAGCCAAGAATATGTTTTAAAGTCTTTTTTTCCATCTGGCATCCATGTTACACATTACACATTCTATTTTCCTTCCTTTTACAAAACGGTCTCTTGCCAAAAAATGTACCAGAGTTTTAAATAAATGAATGCGTCAGTGTGGTACCATAACGAAATCAGAAGGAACATCCATCATTTGAAAAATAATTACTGCGAGATTCTTACAGAGCATAGATTAAGCTTATTTCCTTTTACTGAGAATCACAATGATGAATTTCCAGCATGCTGAGTGCTCCAGAAGGGCTTCCCTAATCAAATCAGTCTGGTGCAATTCTTAAACACAGAAAGACACCAAAAGAGCTGCAAGTGCACCTATGATATGTAAATACACATATGCAGCAGTTTGGGACCTCTCAATCTCATATAGCTGGAAATGAAATAGAAAGAAGTTTTTAAAAGCTATTATGGTTTTTTAACCTTACAAAGGAAGGCTAAAGAAAATGTGGACTTATTGTTTAGGGAAACAGGGGGGCATGATAGAAGATCATAGAGATGAACACTACAGACAGAATATTGGAAAGTGAGATACCAGAGTGTAGAATAATCTGATAAAAAACGTTTCAGCAGTAGATTTAGGACAAAAGGGAGCACTTAACACAAAATGTAAAGAAGGTGCTATTTCAAAAGGGTTTAGTGATCAGAAGAACAGACAGATGAGCCAGACTTGAACTGTATCAGACCTTAATATAAAGTGATGCTGATCAATAGGTGCCATACAAAAAACAAGGGAAATCCTTGTGTTGTCGAAGGCTTTCATGGCTGGAATGACTGAGTTGCTGTGAGTTTTCTGGGCTGTATGGCCATGTTCCAGAAGCATGATAATTTATTTGCCATATTTATACCCCACCTTTCTCTATCCCAACAGGGGAACTCAAGGTGGCTTACAATGGCACATACACAGTGCCTCAAAACAACAAATTCACCTTTAAATATAGTGTTCCCTTGCTACTTCACGGTTTGCTTTTAGCGGACTCGCTGTTTCGCGGTTTTTTTGAAAATATTAATTAAAAACATAAAATATTTACTTCCAGTGGAGGCCAGGGACCTCGGAAGTGCGGTGGTCTAAGGTGCGGCAGGGAACGCCTGCCTCCCTGGCCTCCACAGACCCCCAAAGTGTGGCGGCCTGACATGCGGCGGGGAAGGCCTGTCTCCCTGGCCTGCTGCTGCCTGCGTTAATCTGGAGGCTCTGCAGAGGTCTGTGGAGGCCAAGGAGGCAGGCAGGCGCCCTTGGGATGGGCCAGGAGGTGGGCAAGGAAGCGCGGGTCAGTAAATAGTATCTAAAATAATGTATAAATATTAAAATTAATATGGCGTCCCTACTTCATGGATTTTCACTTATTGCGAGTGTTCCTGGAACGGAATCCCCGCAATAAGTGAGGGAACACTGTAGTTTAAAATTACAACATATTAGACATGGTTAAAATACATTCAAAATGAAAACATGCCATCCAGAGTTCATTATCTCCTGACATTTTGCCTACATCTATGGCAGGCATCCTCAGAGGTTATGAGTTCTGTTGGAAACTAGGCAACTGGGGTTTAACGTCCATGGTGGGAGAAAGAACTTTTGTCTGTTTGAGGCAATTGGCCGCCTTAATTAGCATTGATTGGCCTTGAAGCTTCAAAGCCTGCCTGGTTCAGATCTCAGGGAATCCTTTGTTGGGAATCCTTTGTTGATCCGGGCAAGCTAACACCTTCCAGCAAAGGATTCCCCAGGCAGGTATCAGCCAGGCTTTGAAGCTGCAAGGCCATTCAATGCTATCAAAGTGGCCAATTGCAACATTCACACTTGCCTCCAACAGACAAGAGTTCTTTCTCCCACCCTGGATATTCCTCTTGCCTAGTTTCCAACAGACCTCACAACCTCTGAGGATGCCTGCCATAGATGCAGGCGAAACGTCAGGAGAGAATGCTTCTGGAACATGGCCATACAGCCTGGAAAACTCACAGCAACCCAAGGGAAATCATCTCTATGGTGTCCATTTGTCAGCTTTGCATAGATTAGGTGGACTTCAAATGGTTATGTTCTAAAGACTAACACTGTTACCTACCTCCAAATAGACCAGCTACAGTTGAGGGCTCACTGCGGAAATGGGAAGCATTAGGGTAAGCTTGTGGACCACAAAAAGAATCTGATAAAGGCATATGAAGCAGAAAAGCAAAGAGGGAAAGTTACAGAAAGAAAGAAATAACAAACAGGACATACTCTAGTTGCACAATTAAATATCTGGAAGGTAAGGTAAGACTATACCTACAACACACACATACACAGAGTCGATATAGGTGCAACTTCTAAAAAGGGGAAACGTTACACTACCTAAAGACATTAAGGTTCAAATGCCACGTTTTACACCTCTGGTAACATAAGGATGTGTAAATCCCTCGAGGCATTTATATTATACCTGAAGTAAAGTGACAGAGCTGAACAGTGGATGCATATTTGGTTGTCACAAAGGGGTTTGTATCAGTAAATGGATTGAAGTGATCTAGAGAATCAGAAAAAGTTAAATTGCAAGTCATATGCATGACATGATGGTCTTTGAATTTATGCTTTTGAAGTCAGGCTGCCCCCCATCTATCTTGGATTCTGAACACTAATTCGGGGAAACCAAGGGAACACCTATAAGCTACATGTGATCCATATTAGCCTGTTGTACAACTTGCTGAAGCTTCCCGAACTGTTCTTATTTGGATGCCCAACAACACTGTAGGTAAGGGTGAAGACTATAGAAGACTAGGTGGCTGCAAAAATCCCTCAGAAGATATTGGGGTGCCCTTAAATACCTGCTGGGGGACATTCTGGTTGTGTTTTAGGCCTTTCCAGATTATTTCAAGGCTTTCAAAACACGGGTAACTTTCCTATGATCAAAACTGCTGGGATGTAGGTAGAGAACATGGCCCAAATATCCATCATGCCTGTGGGGACTGAATGCAATCCATGGCTGCATTTTGCCCAGGCATGCTAGATGAAATGATCGCAGTCTCCCACCCCTTTTTGAGGAGAGGAATGTCCCCAAAAGCAATGATCACAGTGGTTCTGAGCAAGTACTATCAGGATGATAAGGAACTACAATAAGTATATTAAGGTAAATATTTTCCCCTGACTTTAAAGTCGTATCCAACTCTGGGGGTTGGTGCTCATCTCAACATCTAAGCCGAAGAGCGGCTTTATCCATAGACACCTCAAAGGTCATGTGGCTGGCATGACTGCATGGAGTGCCGTTGCCCTCTCGCCAAAGTGGTATCTATTGATCTACTCATATTTGCATGTTTTCAAACTGCTAGGTTGGCAGAAGCTGGGGCTAGCAGCGGGAGCTCACCCCACTCCCCAGATTTGAACCGCCAACCTTTCAGTCAACAAGTTTAGCAGCACAGTGGTTTAACCCGCTGTGCCACTGGGGGTTTCTATGAGAAGTATATAGGTAAATACAAAAATCAATAAGGTTGGGATGGAAAGGATATGAAGTCCTCCTCCCACCGTTCCACCCAGCTTTGCTCTCGATTGATTAAGTTCAAAAGTTGGGGCATAGTTTAAACTAAAAGGTGTTTCAGCTTATTTCATTTTTAATCTTTTGGAAATCTTCAATTTGCTCAACACAGTCCGGTTAAAGCAGAGAAAGGGGAAAGACAGTCAGACAGTACTTTACCAACAAAGATTTCATGAGTTGGTGTCCTAGAAGTGAAAGTAGGTAGTACATCAGAGGAGACAGAGAGGTGATCGCTAGATTTTGTGAGGAAAGGATTTAGGCTTGGAATGGCATCATCGACCCCATCAGCAGAAGAAGTAAATGGATCTGTGTGGCCCAGACAGAGCAAGAAGGAGAAAGAGAAGGAGCAGGGAGATGGAGTAAGCTGTGTATTAGTAATCAGGAACAGCATTAGTGGGGTAAGAAGTGACTTTCTTTCAAGAATGCAAGCTAGCACCCCTGGACATACATTTTAAGTGTAAGTGAAATCTAAATGAATTCTTGGAAAAAGTCTATGTGTAACCTCTAGGTTACATAAGCTCCTTTAAATGTGCATTTGGAAAACATCCTTACATACATTACTTTTATCGAGATCAGTTCCTCATATAGGTTTTGCAAAGCTTGTCCTGCGCCTTTTCAATTCCCCCCCCCCCCCTTTTTAAAAAAAACTCTCATCCTCCCAAGTTGTAGATGGCTAAGCTTGGTAGCAAAACACTGCTATAAAATGTGCTATATGAATATACAGACCTAAAATTCAGAATACAGACAAAGAGGAGCCTATGCCATGACTGATCAAATATCTGGGAACTAAATGCACAATTGGCAAAGGTATAAAACAAAAATGAGGTACTATAACTCAACAGCTTTGAAATGGAATGGCAGTATTCCAGTCATTGTTTTGGATTTTATCTCTTGTATACTGAAGCAATTAGACACTGATTTGCACTTGAATTAGAAGGTGCAAACTTAAGCAAGGGCACAGTTAGTGTATGTGTCAGGCATAATGGATTTAGATTATTTTCTTTCTCATAGTACACTTCAAACAATGGTAAGAATTAAGGTGTCTCATTTACATTTGAAGATTACTTTCCACAATAGCAGATGCATAAAGTGTTATCCAAAGTTGCCAAGTTACGACATATGTAACTCAGGAGGAAACAGTCCCTTTCCTACATATTTGGTTAGGCCTTTAAGAATTAAACAATATTCAAATTACATAATGGTTCCTCTGTTTTTTTTTTCATACCACATCAAGATTCAATAAAATTACTCTTGAATTTTTTGGTGATTTTATTTTGTGTGTGCGTCAGGAGCAACATGAGAAACTGCAAGTTGCTTCTGATGTTTGAGAACTGGCCGTCTTCAAGGACGTTGCCCAGGGGAAGCTTGGATGTTCTGATGTTTTACCATCCATGTGAGAGGCTTCTGTCATGTCCCTGCATGGGGAGCTGGAGCTGACAGAGGGAGCTCAACCTGCTCTCCCCATATTTGAACCGCTGACCGATTGTGTGTGTATGTCAGGAGCGACTTGAGAAACTGCAAGTCACTTCTGGTGTTAGAGAACTGGCCATCTGCAAGGACGTTGCCCAGGGGACGCCCGGATGTTCTGATGTTTTACCATCCATGTGAAAGCCTTCTCTCATGTCCCCACACGGGGAGCTGGAGCTGACAGAGGAGCTCAACCTGCTCTCCCTGGATTCAAACCGCTGACCTATCAGGGTTTAACCGACTGCACAGGCATCCTCAGAGATTGTGAGGTCTGGGTTGTTGTAGGTTTTTTCGGGCTATATGGCCTGTTTTGGTGATGAGCACATCAATCTGATTTTTAATACTCCTATCATCAGTAAAGAAAGGACAAGTTGCACAAAGTCTTTTGTGGTTCCCACCGGGAAAGAGAGAAACAGGACAGTCTTTGCTTGAGTGCCAACTCCCAAATAAACCAGCAATGGAATATATGCTGCTTTGCACATTTAGAATAACCTCCTTGTTAAAAACTTTGGAGGTACGTGTAATTAGAACATATAGTCCAAGCAAAGCTTAACAGCCTGAAAAGTATCTTTCTAGAGGAAAAACCTGCACCAGCCAAGATTACAACATTAATGTGGAACAGCTATATTGCACTGTATTCATTTATTTTCTATCAAGGTCAATTCTAGCATTAGCAACTTAAGTTGGGATATAGAGACTTTTGCTCAAGCAGGCACATAATGAACAAATAAAAAAATTAATAAGTACAATCAAACCATGTTTCTCTTCTTATTAACCCATAAGAGCTTTTGTGGTTTGAAAAACGGGAATTGCATGAGTCCAATAACAATGCAGAAGATGAGCTAAGTATTAAAGATAAGGGACCCAACTAACTACATTTAAAAAAAAAACAAAACAAAACCCAAAGACATATTTTGTTTAGGAGATGGTAAAGATATTGCCCAACACTTTAAAAGGCATATGAAATATGCTGTATCTCATTACTTAGTAATTATTGTACAGAACCATGCAACTTCTCAATTCATGTAAAGACACATTGAGAAAAGAAAGCCAGGGATGTTAGTATACTGACTGTGGTAGCAGATATAAACACAAATACAGAAAGTATGTACAACTTAAACCTGGGGTAGACAACAATGGGAGGCCAAGGGGGCTGCACTAATCCCCTAGGAGACCAGGAGTGGGGACAACACAACACATGCAACCATACAGTGCCCCACAAAAAACAACAAATGTTTTTCCCCAAATGCCCCCCCACCTGGGGGACATTCGAGATACTATAGGGAGTATAGTATCACATTTTAGATCCCCTGGTACACTTGGGATATACATTAAGAACAAGACATAGGTTCCAGCTGTCAGACTATAACTTTAATAAATTCACTAAAAAGAAGTCTCCGCTGAACACTGGAACTTACTTGTTTTCCACATACCTTCCCACTCAATCTGAGGTCACTAAATCGGAACAGGGCTCTCAAAAAGTAATATAGTATGATGTGTTGTTGAAGGCTTTCATAGCCAGAATTACTGGGTTGCTGTGAATTTTCCGGGCTGTATGGCTATGTTCCAGAAGTAGTCTCTCCTGATGTTTCACCCACATCTATAGAGTTTGTGAGGTCTGTTGGAAACTAGGCAACTAGGGTTTATATATCTGTGGAATGTCCAGGGTGGGAGAAAGAAATCTTGTTCTCTTTGATGCAAGTGTGAATGTTGCAATTGACCAGCTTGATTAGCATTGAATGGCCTTGCAGCTTCAAAGCTGCAGCTCCCAAACACGAATCAAGGAACATGAAAGGTATTACAGACTAATTCAACCAGAGAAGTCATCCACAGCAGAGCACCTGATGAACCAACCTAGACACAGCATATTATTGGAGAACACAGAAATGCTGGACCACTCTCACAACCACCATGTCAGTCTACACAGAGAAACCATTGAAATCCACAAGAATGTGGACAACTTCAACAGAAAGGAAGAAACCATGAATATGAACAAAATCTGACTATCAGTATTAAAGAAACTTTAATATCAGGACAGTAAATAAAGAACAACACTTAGAAAACAGGGGAATTCTAGACAGGAAACAATCAGGGCAAGCTAACAACTCCCAACAAAGGATCCCCGAAGCAAGAAGCAGCCAGGCTTTGAAGTTGCAATGCCATTTAATGCTAATCAAGCTGGCCAATTACAACATTCACACTTGCCTCTTTCTCCTACCCTGGACGTTCCACAGATGTATAAACTCCACTTGCCTGGTTTCCAACAGACCTCACAACCTCTGATAATGGTAATAATAATAATTATATTTTGCCCTATCTCCCCTAAGGGATTTCAATAATAAAAGGCAAACATTCAATGTCTGAATCAATCTGAGGATGCCTGCCATAGATGAGGGTGAAACGTCAGGAGAGAATGCTTCTGGAACATGGTCATACAGCACAGAAAACTCACAGCAACCCAGTAATACAGTTTGATTTCCTACCAATGCAATTCACATGTAACAGGAATTCTGATAAGTAGCTATATAGTCTTTGCTTAAAAACCTATATAAAATGAAGGCTTGCCATCCTCCAGGAAGTCTCAAGTACGCAACCTTATTCAGATTACCCTCCACAAGGATGCTCTGGAAGACTTGAAATATACTCTGGTTTCCCTCCTATGTCCTCCAACAGCGATTTGTTTATAGTTCTGTACTCAACACAAATCATCTATTTTCCTCTCAAGGTGAAATTCTATTCCATATTTTCCTATTATTGTTTGGAGAGCACACAGAAATTGTATTTAGATTATCAAGATTTCACTCTAAATCAAACCTTGATGTTTTTGCGTTGCACCTTGGGAGTGCATTTGTAAGCCACCCCGACTCCTTCCGGAGAGATGGCGGCGGGATACAAATAAAGATGATGGTTATTATTACTACTTTACAAAATTCTTCTGCCACAGAGATGTAATTAAAAATCCACAATAAAAGAAGAAAACTAAAACAAAGTAAAATAGTAATTCAAATGGAATGCAAAGATATATTCAGGTTCACTGCTTGCCTCCTGATTGTCCAAAGAGTTAGAAGAATTAACTGATTGGGACATTTAGAAAAATCTAGTTAATTAAATTTGCAAGTAAACAGAGCCGAGATTCAACGATGATAGAAACGGCAATCTATAATCACAAATGGTATGTAATTGAATTTCTTACCTCCCCAGGTCCCTCCTACTTGTGGTGCAGAAGATATGGGATGCACAGAGGGATGAAAGCCTGGCTGCAAATCAAGCAGGTCATTTGGCAGCTTTGATGTGCTACAGAAACAAGTGAGACAACTATCAGAGACATGGAGAGGACTGCCATTCTTTCAATAAATGTACTAAGCTGTTTCAAAAAACAATCATGGAGTGATGCAGAGAGACATACTGCTTTTTGCAGAATTCAGCTCCCTCAGAATCCAAGGTCACAATCAAAGATGCACTTTAGGCATCCCTGAGATTATCAACATACCCAGAGGGACTGGCAGATTCTTTTTGGAGCAGCAGATTACACATACTCACACTATTACAAAACTGTATTCGAAAATTTCTTTCAAGACAAAGATGCTTTCTATTTTACAAGGGGGGTAGTATTGTTTGAGAAACAGTCCCACTGGGCTCACAGATGTCATTGCATTGTTGTTTGGTTCCTGTCCTGGTTTTCATATTATTTTGTTTCATCTATATAAATAAAAATGTAATGTTCCTTGGTGGGATTAACATAACTCAAAAACCACTGGACGAATTGCCACCAAATTTGACCACAAGACACATACTAATCCAAGAAGTGACCATCACTCAAAAAATGATTTTGTCATTTGGGAGTTGTAGTTGCTGGACTTATAGTTTACTTGCAATCAAAGAGCATTCGGAACACCACCAATGATGGAATTGAACTAAACTTGGGACACAGGACTTCCATGACCAACAGAAAACACTAGTAGGGTTAGGTGGGCACTGACCTTGAGTTTGGAAGTTGTAGTTCACCTACAGAGGGCACTGTGGACTCAAACAATGATGGATCTGAACCAAAATTGGCACGAATATTCCATATTTCCAAATATGAACATTGATGGGGTTTGGAGAAAATCGACCTTGACATTTGGAAGTTGTAGTTACTGATATTTTATAGTTCACCTACAATCAGAGAGCATGCTGAACCCCACCAATGGCAGAACTGGGGCAAACTTCCCACACAGAACCCCTGTACTTAAGGCCATCCAGTCCAACTCCTTTCACCAGGACAAGAAAACGTAATTAAAGCCCTCCTGACAAAGAGCCATCCAGACATATATATATAAATAGATATATATGATTCACACACAGAGAGATATAGTTTCATAGATTTGAAAGGGACCCCTAAAGAAGGACAATTATATGTTGCCTGTTCCAGAGTAGGCAAACCAGGCAATCTCTACATCCACACTGACAAAGAAACAACAAGAAATACTGTTTTACTCACAAGCATAAATAAATTACATATATTACAAACCAACACCTTCTCATTACTTTATTTTCCAGATCACCAGACTGGGCCACAGCAACGTGTGGCAGGGGATGGCTAGTTTTTTTTTTCTAAAGGCTCTCACTCACTCTCGCAGCTCTATGTCAGAAAGTACACAGGCAATGCCAGTGGCAATGTTCGACATCGGAGATAATAACTAAAGTATTGAGGAATGAGAGATAGGGAAACCATGTAGACAAGTTGCTTTTTTTGGGACTAAACTCGATCCTCGACATTCATTGGGCTGAGTATGTAGGACCGCCCCAACAAAAGTGGGAAAATGTGAATAAATACCCCTGCTATTTTAATAAAAGAGAACACCATTTTCATGGTCAATGGTTGGCCACAGATTATAGTTGGGAAAAATCCTTATATAGAACATATTAATCAAATCCACAAAATTCAAATTTGTCTATGTCAATGGCTAACTGTATCTCCTTCAGAATTCCTTAGCCATCGTGATTATATGAGAGATTCTGAAAGATACAGTCTCAGCAAGCAATTTGTTTTTGAAAGCAAAGGACAGGGATTCTCTAACCTGTGTTATTTTGGCTACCCACAACTCAAATTATAACTGGGAAAAGCACATTCTAAAACAGGGGAAAGTAAGAAGGCAGCTTGTGGCACATTTGTAGATCTCTTAGTGCACTTCAGATCTTCAGTTAAAATGTGTTTCCTTCTGAAATTTGTTTGGTTTTATTTTTTTAATCACCGTATATACTCGGGTATAAGCCGAGCCAAATATAAGCTGAGGAACTTAATTTTACTGTAAGAAACTGAGAAAACTTATTGACTCACATATAAGCAGCTACTGGTAAATTTCAAAATAAAAACAGATATCAATAAAATTACATTAATTGAGGCATATAGCTTCTCCTCTTAGCACAGCAACCCAGCTGCAAAGGGATTATTTCAGCCCCACGCCTTCTTGTCAAGACCCTCACTCGAGTATAAGTCGAGGGAGACATTTTCAGCATAAAAAATGAGCTGAAAAACTAGGCTTATATTTGAGTATATACAGGGAAAAGATGTGTGAGTGAAAAGGGCTTGAAATATTGATTTTGGTACTGGCTGCAACATGCTTAGAGGCAGACTCCTGTTTCTTGGAATATAAGTAAAGGTAAAGGTTTCCCTTGACATTAAGTCTAGTTGTGCTCGACTGTAAGAGGTGGTGCTCATCTCCATTTTTAAGCCAAATAGTTGGCATTGTCCATAGACACCTCCAAGGTCATCTGGCCAGCATGACTGCATGGAGTGCCATTACCTTCCTGCAAAAGTGGTACCTATTGATCTACTCACATATACATGTTTTTGAACTGCTAGATTGGCAGAAGCCGGGACAAATAGCATGAGCTTACCTTGCTCCATGGATTCGAACTGCCAACTTTTCGGTCAGCAATATATGAATCCAAATAAGCCACAACTTTGCATAGGCTACAGATGCTAGAGTAGATCCTGAATCCTGATATAAAAACTCCTGTTCCCAAAAATATGCTCTTGTGTTTGCAAGTGAAGTCTTAATTTTAAAAGGCTGTGTGTAAATTCTGCACTCTGCAGAAGAAAGTCAGCGGTAACACAACGGAGTACTCAAATTGCTCCACAATACAGCAATATACAGGCTGGAGAGGGACTTGAGAGATGTGGATGGGGCCCTTCCTAAACCACGGAACTCACTAGTTGATTTTAAACCAGCCACACTTTCTTAAGTCTTATTCTGAACTTCAAAAATTGTTGTGAAGATAAAGTATGGAGAAGATGAGATATATACCCTACCTTGAACTCACAGCAAAAAAGGTCAGGATATAAATATACATATCACATTTTTCAAGTTTAAGATCAAACTCATGATAGTTTTATTGGCTTGCTTAGCACATGACTGAGATTTCTGAATCACAACTCCTGATTTATATATAAACAAGCCAGGAGTCTTCAGAAGCTGAATCCTGGCATATATCTCTTTTTGGTCATGTGATAGGAAGACGGGGGAAAGCATGTGAGTCCAAGCTGTCACTCAGAATCCTTCCTTGTTGAGAAACTTTGGTTTAAATTTTTGTAAACAAATGCAGCCATAAAACTTGAGTAAATTAAATTCCAGTTTTAGGGATTCTTGAAATACAGGCAGTCGTTAGCCTCTGTTCACAATCCTACAGGTTCATGACAAAACAAGTTCTTGATCGCCAAAGGCATTTACATATATTTGCACACACAAGTATGACACAGATATTATGTCTACAGGAAACAATGTACTTTCCCCTTATGAAATATGCACGTCTTGAACAATTGCAAAGTGAAATATTCTTATGCCCCAGTGTTAATGTCTGGGCTGTTTGTCTTGGCTGCAGAAAACTAATAATCTAATACCATGGTTCTCAACCTGTGGGTCCCCAGATGTTTTGGCCTTCAACTCCCAGAAATCCTAACAGCTGGTACACTGGCTGGGATTTCTGGGAGTTGGAGGCCTAAAACACCTGGGGATCCACAGGTTGAAAAACATTGAGCTATTAGGCTCATGGCAACAATCTGCACAATTAAAGAGCAGCCTCATATTAAGGATCCACTGTGGCTAGAATCAATCTTTTTCAACTAGCAATACTGAAAAAGAGTTATTTACAAATTTGTCATTTTCATTGTCTGTTTCTAGGCTTAACATGAAGTGCCAGTATTAATATTTCAAGATGGAGATGGTTCTAACCCAGGTTACCTGGAAAATACCTCTTCCCACATAGATCTCAGATCCTATCTTCTGAGATCCTCCTACATACACCTCTGACAAATGAGGCCAAGCAGGTAGGCCTTTTCAGTATTAGCAGACTAGTTTATGGAACAGCTTCCTAGAGCAGCATGACTGATATATACACACCAGGGGAACACTTTTTATTCTCCTAGGTTCTTCCATCTGAAATATTTTATTTTTGTGCTGTGCTTTTAATTTTTTTATGAGAAAAATTACCTCACAATCTTCTTATGGGCAATTATAATTCCTGGCAATAAAAAAAATGAGTGCAATACCTGTTTGAAGAACTAGGTGTGGAGAAGATGTCAATGGCTGGTGTCGTCATTATACTCCCTGCTGTATTAGACACTGGGGAGGAGGCTGTAGTTAAGGAGGTATGAGGTTTCTTTGCAAGTTCTTTTAGACGCTGTTCCTATTCAAAAACCAAATCAGCATAAGAAACTTGGAAACAAGGTAGCAATGGTTAAGGGGGAAAGCCCTCAAGCAGTTGTCATTCTGGGGCTCAACAAATCATAATAAAGAAGAGATTCTTTACTCCTCAGCAATACCAAATATTTTATGCATCTTAATTGTGAATGAAAAAGGACAGGTCAGAGAAAAAGAAGGTAGGAATGTAAGATATTGTCTTTTTATTCTTTTACCACATTTATTCATTTTATTCATTTATTATTTACTGTGACTGGAAGGCTTTCTCAAGGTTCTCAGGCAGATCCTTCCCATCAGACGAACAATGTTTAAACTAGAGATGCCTGGAGCTGAACATTGCAGCTTCAGTGTGCAGTCTATGTTTTGCTCAGAAGGATCTATTTAATAATAATAATAATAATAATAATAATAATAATAATAATGATTCTGCAAGGAAGCAGATGAAACAATAGATCATATCCTCAGCTGCTTCAAGAAGATCGCGCAGACAGACTATAAGCAGAGGCATAACACAGTTGCTCAGATGATTCATTGGAACTAGTGCCACAAATACCATCTGCATGAGACAAAGAACTGGTGGGATCCCAAGGCTGAAAAAGTTACAGAAAATGAACACGTCAAACTACTCTGGGACTTCTGAATATGGATTGACAAGTGTTTTGGAGCACAATACTCCTGACTTTACAATCATGGGGAAAAAAAGTATGGATTGTCAATGTTGCAATTCCAGGTGACAGCAGAATTGACGAGAAGCAAATCAAAAAGCTCACACGATATGAAGATTTAAAGACAGAACTGCAAAGACTGTGGAACAAGCCAGTCAAGATGGTCCCAGTGGTAATCGGCACACTGGTTGCAGTGCCTAAAGACCTTGGCCTGCACTTAAAAACAATCAGCGCTGGCAAAATTACCATCTGTCAGCTGCAAAAAGGATCTGCATGCATTATTTGCCAATACATCACACAGTCCTAGACACTTGGGAAGTGTCCGACATGCGATCCAATACAAAAGCCAGGATAGTGATCTTGTTTTCTGTGCACTAATATTGTTATGTATCTAACAACAACAACAACAACAACTAGAAGTGGCCATTCCAAGTTCTGGTAAAATTACATTTGTTATTTAACTGGAATGTGGGTTTCCACAAAAGTTGCAAAGTCTGGGTGGCCCAGGGACATTATGAGATTTCTAGAAGGAGGCCTTGACCTCTGGGTCCTTTGGCCATTACTCAGAAAGATGAAAGTGTTCAAATTGAAGAAAGTTATCTAGGTGTTGTGCAGTTATCAGAGCTAACAATAATATTTTAAATTTCTCTCTGCACTTTTGACAAGTAATTTCATTTTTGCTCATCAATGCCAGTGACAAGAAGCAACATCTTAGGATAGAGGTTGGCAACATGTTGAATATGATCTGCTTCGTCAACTTGCAAACCATCTGTGTTTGATTATGAGGCGCTCATAGGCAATTCTGATGGTTTCAAGGGGAAAAGTGTGAGCCTATGCGTGTGAGTCAAAAGTAAGACTCCCAACTCTCAGTGGATTTGCTCTAATTTATGTATATTTTCCTTTTGGAAAAAGGGAAGCAGGGGTATATACTTAAAAGCATATCCTAATGTGGTAGTGAGACTAACTTTGTCCTGATTGTGTCGGTAACAATATGTGTGACTGTGTTGCAATCTCAAGCACAAATACTTATCTGGATAGGTCCAAAACCCATTATTCTGTGGATAGTTCTACTTCTGAGCCACCCCATTATGTGAGCGGCTTTAACTGGCAAAACCTTTGGTTCTGGAAAGTGCCACCACCAAAGAGTCTCACAGAAATCAAAGTCTACCCTCCCCTGATCAAGGAATCTCTCGTTGCCATTTCAAATAATGAAGAGCTACAGCTCACAAAACCAGCGATATATATTACAAACACCTATAGTACACACCATTGCTTCTTGGTACTGTGTAGCCCTGCGGTTCTGTGCCACAAAAACCTTTGTGCTATAACTGTTGTAAACAGCAATGCTGCAGGGCACATCACTCACAAACATCACATATACCTCAAATCTTGGCTGGCAGAAGACGTGCTCCCTCCACTCCCCACTCACATTATTTATAAATCTTGTATGCCCACAGCCCATTTTTCAAACTAAAAGTGCAGAGATAATTAGGGTCACAGAAGAACAAGAATCACACCCACCTTTAAAGCTTTTAAACGTGCTTGCTCTTCCTCTAGTGCAGCTTGTTTTTCCCTTTCGTCTACTTTGGTGAGCGACAGGCCGGTGCTTGCCAGGGAGGAGACAGCATTGGAGAGAGTGGTAGCCCTAGGAAAGGTTGACAAGAGGAAACCTGGCAATTACATACATGGCACGACAGGGAAAGATGCTCTAGATTGTTTTTTCCCCACTTTATTCAAAAACGTTTTACAGTGCAACACTTGTCTTTCGAAGGGACATGTCATTGTGGGCATAATTTGAGGAGGAGAGTCTTTCGACTTCCTTTCTACTACTGTATAGCTAGTAAAATTTAACCACCCTATTCAAATGTCTAAAAGTGACCTACACTGGAGGATATAAGTTTTTTAAAAGTTATGAGACTAGCAGGGGAAGTATTTATTGCAAAATATATGCTGCAACCTCAAAACTGTCAATTACCGTATATTCTAGGGTATAAGCCGACCTGAATATAAGCCAAGGCACTTAATTTTACCACAAAAACTAGGAAAACATATTGACTCGAGTATGAGCTCAGAGTGGGAAATGCAGCAGCTTCTGGTAAATCTCAAAATAAAAACAGATACCAATAAAATTACATTAATTGAGGCATCAGTAGGTTAAATGTTTTTGAATATCTGCATAAAACTGCAATTTAAGATAAGACTGTCCAACTCTGATTTAATCATTATTCTAACCTTCTTCAATGTAAATATGTTTACATATCCTTCCAATAATAATAGATTAAAACAATAAATGTAATAAAAAGAATAATAGAGTAAAATAATGTAAATGTAATAATAATAATAATAATAATAGAATAAAATAATAAATGTAATAATAGAGTAAAGTAATAAATGTAATAATAATAATAATAATAATAGAGTAAAATAATGTAAATGCAATAATAATAATAATAATAATAATAAAGTAAAATAATAAATAACTGACTTAAGTATAAGCTGAGGGGGGCTTTTTCAGCCTAGAAAAAGGGCTGAAAAACCTGGCTTATATTCGAGTATATACGCTACTTTTATTACAGTGTGAAATATAAAGGGTGAAGATATTAAGACATTGGACAATGCTGCAAATGTTTTATGGGATTATGTTCAGGACTGAGATTATGAATAAAATTGCCCACGATTTTATGACCATCTTCTGGAGTTCAGGGGAATTAAATGGAATAATTCTATTACAGTTGGATCCAGAGACATCATTACACTTAATGCAGGTCTGCTGATGAAATGATGAAACCTAATTGATTTCAAGAGGATTTGAAGCTGAACTTCTCCAAAGAAGTCAGACACTACAGACAGCTCCCAAAATAAAAGGAAATACCATGTGGTGGTTGCAGTTCTTTCTTATATCCAACAGATTCAAACAGACAGGTTTTGATGGAACTATGCCACTTTTGCTATGTTGAAATCATTTCCCAGAACGCTTTTTGCAGCTAGTTTTCTCTTTGATATATGACTTGATTACGTGCAGGAGTTCTGCTCCATGAGGTAACATGAAATATTTAATTCTTCATCTCCAAAGAGATGTAGTCCAGAAAAGTGGTTAAGATCTGCATCTGTCAGACACAGGCAGGCTAAAACAGTTGTCTGAAGCTCCTTATTCCAATGAAAACATGCAAACCGTATTCGAGGAAGTTTCAAGCACTGTCCAAATCCATCAGGAGGAAGAATGAATACATGCCTGCTTGCAGCAGTGGAGTCTTTGATTTTCTTTCCTTCCAAAGAGCCTAAGTGCTGTTCCAATGCATCAAGAAGGCTGCTCGGTGCCTACAAAATAAATCAGCAGCCTTTCAGGAATTCAGGTCAAATAACAACAGCAGCTCCCAGTAACCACTTCCCTCAACACAACTACGCAATATCCAATGACAGTCAATAGCTCTTAACTGAACTAACACCAAAAATGTATTAAGCACTACATAGAGTAGTGTGGTTCCGTGATTTATTAATCAGGACTACTTATTTAAACATCTATCCATGAAGAGAAAGCACAAAGGAAAACAGAACACGGAACGAAGGAGAAATTACTGCATACGTTCTGAGGGATATGAGAAGAGCTACTACTTTAAGCCATATAAACATGTTAACACACTATAAATCTCTGCCATCCTAACTAAGCATTTGGCATTTCTATGGTTTGGTTTAATAGCTTATTAGAAATCAATAAGATGCAATGGCGCTTAACACTACAGATATATGCAACTGTACCACAGCATTTAAATTAATTTAAAATGTAGGAATCTATTGCTTTAAGGTATAATCTTTTACTATGGATCGTCAGCAGTAAAACAAAGCAAAATAGGAGGTTTTATACCAATATTTGACAACAGATAGAACATCAAATTCAAACCCATTTTTTTAAAGCCCTATACACATAACATGGTGACAACCAATTAAAACAGTATTTCTCAACCTTCTTAATGCCGAGCCCCCTTAATACATTTCCTCATGTTGTGGTGACCCCCAACCATAAAATTATTTTGTTGCTACTTCATAACTGTAATTTTGCTACTGTTATGAATTATCATGTAAATATTTAATATGCAGGATGTATTTTCATTCACTGGACCAAACTTGGCACAAGTAATCAATATGTCCAAATGTAAACACTGGAGGAGTTTGGGGGAAACAGACCTTGACATTTGGGAGTTGCAATTGTTGGGATTTATAGTTCACCTACAATCAAAGAGCATCCTGAACCCCACCAGCGACAGTATTGGGCCAAACTTCCCACACAGAACCCCCATGCCATGAAGGGACTCGCTGGAGCAAGCCTCACATGTTCTTCCTCGCCCGCACATGTGCACCACACTGTCATGCGCCGAGCATGCCTGCTCTCCCCTCCCTGCTTGGAGTCTCAGAAACAGCCCTCCACTTGGCTGAGAAGCCAGCCAATCACAGCAGAGGAGGGCTTTTAGTGGGAAGATTTGCGATTTGTTTCCAAAAAGGATGAGAAGGACAGGCAGAGATATCTTCGGTCTTCTTTGCCAATAGGGTTCCTAAGACCATCAGAAATATATGTTTTCTGATGGTTTTTGGTGACCCCTGGGAAACCCCCTCGTGACTCCCCCAGGGGTCCCGACTCACAGGTTGAGAAACACTGAACTACAGCATTAGCAACTAAATCAAATTCTTTAAATTATAAAACCCCCAAAACAAACATACATGATGCATATTACATTATCTACCTGAGAAAGATCGGGTATGTCTCCTCTGTCTATTCCCACTTGCTGCAACAACAAATACAATCAATAAGATATAAGTTTTAAACATGCTTGGCTAAATATGTGATTTAAAAAAGTACACTGAAGACTACTGAAAAGAGAAAGAAAGATGGTTTGCACATTATGAAGACTCAGATGGTTTGCACATTATGAAGACTCAGAACCTATATTGAGGTGGACACATGAGGCTGGTCTGGGGGCTGTTTTTTCTGCCCCAGGGACTTTTATAGGCCATACTGACTACCAAAAATACCAATCAAATAATGAAGAAAAAAGTCAACTAAAGTCCACTTCCAGTTTTGCAAACTGGATTTTTGAGGAGGTATTTAAAAGCTGAACTCTTTCCTGGAAACGCCCTGGAAAGACAATTAATTGAGGGAGAAGGTGGGGAGGATACAAAAGGAGTTGTGTCAGGAGTCTGGATTGATCCTGGGGTACAAAAACAGCTTTGAGGACTCCCCACTGCACCATCTCCATAGTCTTTTCAGTATCAGAATTTCAATCATTCTGTTCCTCGATTCTTGTGGGTTTTTTCGGGCTATAGGGCCATGTTCTAGAGGAATTTCTCCTGACGTTTCGCCTGCATCTATGGCAAGCATCCTCAGAGGTAGAGGTCTGTTGGAATTAGGACAATGGGTTTATATATCTGTGGAATGGCTGGGGTGGGGCAAGGAGCTCTTCCCTGCTGCAATTAGGTGTGAATGTTTAGCTGATCACCTTCATTAGCATTTGAAGGCCTGCCTGAACCTGGGAAAATCTGGCACAGTTACAAAGCCATATTGGGCTCACTACACACTACATCAAGGACTCAGCCCACTTCATAGAAAAAATCAGCAATCTCAAGCTAAATACCAATCGACAAACTGATCAGCTTTGATGTGGTATCTCTATTTACCATGGTCCCGGTAGCAGACACCATGGCACTCATCAACCAGAGGTTCCCAGAAGACATCACGGCTCTGTTTCACCATTGCCTCACCACCAGTTACTTTCAGTGGGACAATGAATTCTAAACAGAAAGATGGAGTAGCTATGGGGAGCCCTCTCAGCCCGGTCATAGCTAACTTCTACATGGAACACTTTGAAAAACAAGCCCTGGAAACAGCAACCAAAAAGCCCACGATATGGTTCAGATATGTGGATGACACTTTCACCATTTGGAGCCATGGAGAAGAAGAACTAAACAGGTTCCTGGACCATCTTAACAGCATCCACCCAAACATCCAATTCACCATGGAAAAAGAAAATGAAGGAAGACTGCCTTTTCTAGATGTCCTAGTCATCCACAAACCAGATCAACAATTGGGTCACACCATTCTACAGAAAACCCCACACACAGATAGATATCTACATAAAAACTCCAACCATCACCCAAGTCAAAAAAGAAGCACATTAAAGCCTTGGCAGACCGTGCAAAAAAGAATCTGCGAACCCCACCTCCTCCAAGATGAACTGAACCACCTCAACTGGGCTCTACAGGCCAATGGATACTCCACCTCAGACATCAGAAGAGCTGCAAGACCAAGAACAAGCCACGAGAGTCAAGATGAAGATCCACCCAGAGGAAAAGTGTTCCTGCCATACATCAAGGGAACCACTGATCGCATAGGGAAGCTGATGAGGAAACACAACATACAAACAATCTACAAACCCACCAAGAAAATCCAACAAATGCTACGTTCAGCAAAGGACAAGAGGGATCCTCTCACCTCTGCAGGAGTCTACCGTATACCATGCAGCTGTGGACAAGTCTACATAGGGACCACCAAACGCAGCCCAAACACGAATCAAGGAACATGAAAGGCACTGCAGACTACTTCAACCAGAGAAGTCAGCCATAGCAGAGCACCTGATGAACCAACCTGGACACAGCATATTATTTGAGAACACAGAAATGCTGGACCACACCAACAACCACCATGTCAGACTACACAGAGAAGCCATTGAAATCCACAAGCATGTGGACAATGTCAACAGAAAGGAAGAGACCATGAAAATGAACAAAATCTGGCTACCAGTATTAAAAAACTCTAAAATTATAACAGCTAAACAACAGAGAGGAAAAAACCAGGCACAGATTAACACCTCCCAGCAACAGATTTTCCCAGGCTCAGGCAGGCCTTCAAATGCTAATGAAGGTGATCAGCTAAACATTCACACCTAATTGCAGCAGGGAAGAGCTCCTTGCCCCACCCCAGCCATTCCACAGATATATAAACCCATTGTCCTAATTCCAACAGACCTCTACCTCTGAGGATGCTTGCCATAGATGCAGGCGAAACGTCAGGAGAAATTCCTCTAGAACATGGCTCTATAGCCCGAAAAAACCCACAAGAACCTAGTGATTCCAGCCATGAAAGCCTTCGACAATACATTCTGTTCCTCAATTATTATTTTTATACTAAGCTTTTATCTTGAGTTCTTAGGGCAACAAACAGACAGAGCAATACCATCTATTTAAAGAATTCCAACTTACAGTCAATAATTTAAACATGATAAAAACATATTAACACAATTCAAACATGCTGAAAAGAGGCTTTAAGAGGCGAAAAGAGTTAACACAATCTTCATGTTTAAAAGTAAATTAGGTCCCAAAGGCATGAATAAAAAGACGTCTTGACCTGGTGACAAAAAGAAACTTACTTCGGTCCTAATTGAACTTTAGAATCATAGAGTTGGAAGAGACCTTGTGGACCATCCAGTCCAACCCCATTCTGCCAAGAAGCAGGAAAATCACATTCAAAGCACCCCTGACAGATGGCCATCCGGCCTCTGCTTAAAACCCTCCTAAGAAGGAGCCTTCACCACACTCCGGGGCAGAGAGTTCCACTGCTGAACAGCTCTCACAGTCAGGAAGTTCTTCCTAATGTTCAGATGGAATCTCCTTTCTTGTAGTTTAAAGCCATTGTTCCGCGTCCTGGTCTCCAGGGCAGCAGAAAACAAGCTTGCACCCTCCTCCCTATGACTTCGCCTCACATATTTATACATGGCCTTCATCATGTCTCCTCTCCACTTTTCTCTTCTGCAGGTTAAACTTGCCCAGCTCTTCAAGCTGCTCCTCAAAGGGCTTGTTCTCCAGACCCTTGATTATTTTAGTCACCCTCCTTTAAAGGGAAGGGCATTCCACACGTGGGATGCACAGTCAAAAAGCCTTCTTCTATATTTAAGTTAGCCTTTTATGTTACTTTCGGTTTTATTCCTTTTCTTTTTGTAGACTGGGCTTCCAACTAAAATTCAGCGTTTTTAATTGCTATTGTTATATTTTAACATTCTTTTCCTGACCTATCCAGAGATTTTGTCATGAAGAGGCTTTATAAGCAAAGTAATAAAATCAAAAACACTTTTTAATAATATCAGCTCATTGATAGTTTTTGTTAGAGAGGTTGGTAAACTGCTGCCTTGAGTCAATCATTTATACAAGCGGCATTCTGCACTAATAATACTTCAGCCTGGTATGAATGATACTTAGCACCAATTAAACTAAAGCATTCTGGTTTCACAATTTTAATTTTTATCCTCCACAATATTTTCATTGACATCATTCTGTCAGCATAACACATTACAGAATTCTTGATATGACCAGCATTTGTTACCTCTGCAACTTTGAGAAACTCAGAAATCCTTGTCATTCTGGTCAGAAACTTCTTATATATGTCAAGGCCTTCTTTGCATTGGTTTTTTTTCATGTCGAAGTACTTTTCTATGAAAAAGAATTTAAAAATGAGAGCAGTCAAGGCAAATTTCTTCTTGTTTACAGCACAGAACCATAATGCATAACACAGCAGAAACATACACTGGGCATGTTTGCCAAAGAAATGGATAGTCTCTGTAGATTTTTCTCTTCATTGTGTCATTTTTTTTCAGGTTCAGAAACAAAGGGCTGATTGGAGGCAAATTTGGAAACTTTGGTACAAAAACTAACATTCCAAATTAAGAGTTAAGTGGGAAGACTGGAAGTCACAGAAGGAATTTAATTTGAAGTCTAAAGTATATTTTTTAATTTAAACACAGAGAAGGCTATATTTGAGTCTCTGTAAAAATGTCACTGGAAATATATTTAAATTATGGCAGAAATTATCCTCATTTTAAAAAATTACCAATTTGCCCTGGTGAATTAACAAAGCCAGAAGCTATACAAATAGTAGAGCACTTCAATTCAGCAATCTATTTCATAACAGATACCCAAAATACAGACAGTGCCAAGAGTCAAGAGACAAGAAGTCAAAAAATTGCCTCCAGAACATGGCCATATAGCCCGGAAAAACCTACAACAACCCACAGTCAAGAAGGAGTTTTCTCTATCTCATGCAGATTTAATGAATGACAAATTGGGGGAATAAATTACTGGGTGTAAATAATCATGTAGCTATCATTTTTAGTGTTCATTAGTTTAACTGTTGTCCACAATTGTTTTGCCTTCTCATTCACCCAATGGGCAGATCATCATTTGTCATAATGTATGATTGTCACACGTGGATAAAATTCAACAGTTCAACTTGTTGTGGAAATGCACCTTTCTCAAAAGCGTATCACTTTAAACACAATAAAATATAGTGTATGTTGCCATTTGTAAAGTGTTTTAATTTTGTTAATTTGCTTAATTGCAAATAGTTCCCATTTTATTTCAGAAAAATAAATAATTATCCTTGAAAATACTGTATATACTCAAGTATAAGCAGAGTTTTTCAGCCCTTTTTAAGGCTGAAAAAGCCACCCTCGGCTTGTATGCGAGTCAAGGTTATTTATTATTTTACTCTGTTAATATTATTTTTATTACATTTATTATCTTACTCTATTACTATTATTATTACATTTATTATTTTACTCTATTTATTATTGTTATTATTACATTTATTATTTTACTGTATTATTACATTTATTATTTTACTTTATTATTATACTGACACAAAAGCACAGTATGACACAGCAAATGAGATCTACATGCTGGATTTCGAATCACAAAATCACAAGTCGAACACTTCCCAAGCGTCTAGGACTGTGTGACGTATTTTCGAATGATGCGCGCAGATCCAAGTAAGGTGGCCTTTTGCAGTGGACCGATCGTGATTTTGTCAATGTTTATTGTTTCCAAACGCTGGCTGAGATCTTTTGGCACAGCACCCAGTGTGCCGATGACCACTGGGACCACCTGTACTGGTTTATGCCAGAGCCTTTGCAGTTCGATTTTGAGGTCCTGATCACGGCTGAATTTTTCCTGGTTTTTTTTTTTTTTTTGTCAATGCGACTGTCACCTGGTATGGCAACACAATATCAATAATCCTTTTTTTTTCTTTTCCACAGTCATGAGGTCTAGTATATTGTGTTCCAAAACGTCGTCAGTCTGAATGTGAAAGTCCCACAATATTTTTGCATATTTATTTTCCACGACCTTTGCAGGTTTATGATCCCATCAGTTCTTTACTACTGGCAGGTGGTACTTGGGACATAAGTTCCAGTGAATCATTTGGGCCACATAGTTGTGCCTCTGTTGGTAGTCCGTCTGTGCGATTTTCTTGCAGCAGGTGAGGATATGATCAATGGTTTCATCAGCTTCCTTGCACAGTCTGCATTTTGGGTCATTCGCTGATTTTTTTATCTTGGTCTTAATTGCATTTGTTCTGATTGCTTGCTCCTGGGCTGCAAGAATCAGGCCTTCTGTCTCCTTCAGTGTTCCATTTACTTTATTATTATTGCTATTACGTTTATTATTACTATTATTGTTATTATTACATTTATTATTTTACTTATTGTATTTGTATACTGCCTTTCTCAGTCAATCGGCGACTCATTTATTATTTTACTCAATTTATTATTATTAATTTTTTATTTTACTCTATTATTACTGTTATTATTACATTTCCATTATTTTACTGTTTATTATTATTAGAAGGATACGTAAGCACATTTATATTGAAGAAGGTTAGGAGAATCGTTTAATCAGTTAGCCTATTATTAGTGTTATTATTACATTTATTATTTTACTCTATTATAATTATTACATTTATTCTTTTACTCTATTGCTACTGTTATTATTACATTTCCATTATTTTACTCTACTACTATTTCTACTACTATTACATTTATTCTTTTACTCTATTATTATGGGAAGGATACATAAGCACATTTACATTGGAGAAAGTTAAAAGAATGGTTTAATGAGTTGGACAATCTTATTTTAAAATACTGTTTTATGTAAATATTCAAAAACATTTAACCTACTGATGCCTCACTTATGTCATTTTATTGGTATCTATTTTTATTTTGAAATTTACCAGTAGCTGTTGCATTTCCTACTCTCAGTTTATACTCAAGTCAACACATGTTCCCAGTTTTTTGTGGTAAAATTAGGTGCCTTGGCTTATATTTGGGTTGGCGTATACTCAAGTATATATGGTAATAGTGCCCTACCAACGACTGCAGGACTTTTGTTTCTATAACAGCAATCTCTCATTCAAACATGTACCAAATAGATCACTACAGGCATTCATTATCTTTATTTCTATCCCATTTGTTTTCCCAGAATTGGAATGCAAGGAGCTTATATTGAAACTAATGACATTATGAGAACTGGGCTATCTTGTACAAATTTAATAAACAAAGAGCTTAAAAGCCCCATGCGCATCAAAGCCTCCATCCATCAGCCAACCAGGTGACTTTGGAAAGACTACAAGCAGAGCATAAAGGCAAAAAAAATCTCCTTTCCCACTGCTGCCTTTGTGCCTTCAGAAATAACCCTGACACTAGGAATTCTACAAATGAAAATGAGCCTTTATCTTTCCACAAACCCCAAATACTACCAATTTTTCCTCTTTGTGCTGGGTTGTATCCAAATTTAGATATACATACATCAAACATATTGAAATGAGACCACAACCATGGCTGATTTCACCAGGACTTCTTAAACACCACTAAGTCTGGATCCAACCTAATGTGTTTGGGACAGCTTTTATTCAAAGTATAAGGAATACTTCGTTTTCCCTCGTGAGGTCTGGCAGCTAACCAAAAATCCAAATGCAGATACTCAATTCCACTAACTTCATTTTACGAAAGTCACCCTGAAGGCAGAGAGTTGATTAAAGACAGGCTAAAAGTTTAAAATCTTCACAAAATTGTCACCTTCCCAAAATAGGACGCAAAGACTAAATAGTCAGCTTTGCAACCTGGTCATGTGGCAGTTGGACATGCACAAAATTACAGTGCAAGGAAGTCACTGTTCTTGCCAAAAATGTTCCAGAAAAGCTTACATTTAGGCATATTTCTGTTTACATATAAAGAGATACAGCCCTGAAAAAGCAGCCTAAAACTATCTTTAAGGAAGTCAAGTCAGATGGATGACTACCTTGCTTACTAAGTACAAGGAAGAGATGTAACAGAGGTGGTATTTACCCAACAGATTAATAATCCCTTCATTATATGCTGCAAAGAGTCTAATGGCATCTTTGAAGAGAAGCATGAAGGCAGCATTAATTACACCATTTGTAAGCTCATTGCTGTTGACCTGCCAAGAACAAAAAAGGAATTTAGTTCAACTGGAGGAACTTCTACAGTTTTCTTTTGTGTCAGTACATAGGACGAAGACCCTTCTTTCCCATTTTACACAATGTACTACAAGCTAGTGTAATCAGATCTTGTCAAAGCTAAACCATCCATTTGGCTTCAATTTACAAGGCTGAAACAAAATGTGTTCACTGCCTATAAGATGTCAAGGAAGACTTTCTGGTGAGCAGGAAATGCACATAAGCATACAATACTACTATACAGGTCCTTGAAAATGAACTACTGCGATTCATGTTTCTGTTAGTGAGTAAATCTCTAACTCAGTTACAGCACATTGTAACACACAATTCATCATTCCCAAAAGAACACTTGAATTGTTTATAGAGCAAGTTACATATAGCCCAAGAGAAATTCACTTACTTCTAGTGTTCTATATTGCCCTCCGACATTGCCCTCTGGTAAATAATGAAAGCTCATGTATTTGCAACTTGGAGTATAAGGAAAAGCAAACTGCTCCTTATGCAAATGGTGAGCTACTAATGGCACAAAAAAACTATGAGGAATTTTCCTAGTCCCCTTATTTTATCAAATGTCAAGCTTAAGTGGAAGCCTGAGATCATCAAAGATCTCAGTTTTCCAGAAAAAGTACAACTTTTTCTGAAATGTTCTGCTACTTTTCCAGTACCACAAATAATATTAACTGATTTAGCATGCTTGGCTTAATATTATATCCAAATATATTCAAAGCTTGTGCAAAAATTATTTTACTTGTATGTGTAATAATATAAAAAGACCAGAATACACTTCTCTATATGTAGCACTAATGACCACATCTGAAGGAATGTTATTTTTACCACACATGCTATATAGAGCTGTAGCTGATATACATACAGAGTTTAACTTTGTTTCTGATGAAGTATACAGGCAATCCTCATGTTATGAACAAGGTAGGTTCTGTAGGTTTGTTCTTAAATTGAATTAGTTTGTAAATTGGAACAAGTACATTTTTCAGTGTAATTCCAGCCACACACACACACACACACACACACACACACACACACAAACTTTCGATAGCATATGGAAGGGTTAAGACCCCTATCATGTTTGTTTTGCTGTCTGTTCCTCTCTTCAAAAGATTTCACCACACTTTCTGTCCTTGTGATAATCGGATTTTTAAAAAAATGGCTTGTTATGGAAACAAGGCTTGTGAGAAAGCTTCAGTGGAGACACCTTTTGTCAGAAATATTAAAATTTAACTAGGTATAATTACAAAAATGTGAGTCAAGCACTGAAAGAGTTAAATGGATGCAATGACTCGGCAAAAGCTGAAGTTCTATATAAGCAGATGTGTCTGTAGCTTAGTAGAACTCAGTTTGAGATAAATCTCAATGGGGGAAAGATCTCAGTCTGTGAGAAGGTCTCAGAGTGTGAGAAGCTTCAGTGAGAGAAGCCCCAGGTTGTAAAGCCACATGTGTGAAGCTCCAGTGTATAAAGGCTGCTGTGGGTAAAAAGTGTGAAGCTCTAGTATAAGTTTGCTGTGAGAGGAGGCTCTGTGATAGCTAAGCTGTTTGTCTGCATGAGGAAGAAGCCCAACACGTAAGCAAAGAAGGAAGTATGAAAGACTTTCTTTGTGTTGTGGAAACCTTGTTATTGTAAACAGTGCAATCATATTATTTTACTACAAAGAAAAGCCTCCTATGGAAGAGATAACATTGGTCTGTGTGTTTTGTTCATTTTATCATTTTGGGCTACTGGTGCCGGGTCACGCTGCTGCTAATAAATTATTCAACTGTACATTTATGGGGAGGATCTTTTGTTAATAATTCCACTCATCCAACACCTTTCCCCCCCGTGATAACTCTTTTCAGGAGTGAATTTTCCTTCAGAAGTGTAGATTTCTCTTCCTTTTCAATTGTCTCACCCCTGTTCTTACCTATGAGTTATATGTAAGTCAGATGTTTGTAACTCGGGGACTGCCTGTAATGGTAGTAGTTTCAGGACTACTTATCAATTCAAAGTCTGATGCAATGCAACCAACTGTGAAGGTTTTATTTAGTTTTGAGTGCAGTACTACAACTCAGACAGCTATAGATAATTTTGTGTGTGTTTGTGTGTGTCATGTATACGTTTTCCATTGGAAAACATAGTATTGCAAGAGTTTATGGAAAATCTTCTCTTTGCCATTTTGGTAATTGGTTGCAAAGACAGACACATTAATTCTCTGCTGCTTAGCATCATATGAACCCAACATATACCTGCAGTTCTGGAGTGAGAAGATACACAATAATTTGGGAAAGAGAAACTGAAGTATACAGAATTCTTCAGCTGCTAAGTTCTGAAACAGGTTCTAACTCCAAGCTCAGAGCTGAAGAAAGATGGGTGGGATCATTCACCCACCTGCTCAGCATACTTTCGGCTATAGGGACCTTACATACTGTCCTTTCCAGCTATACATGACAATGCAATGTATACCTACTTGGAAATAATATGCACTGAATACCCTGGAAGTAATTTCCAAGTACAGACAAAAGGAAGGAGCAAACAGGGTGCTAGTAATGAAATGTACATTTATATTATATATAATATATTTATATTACACATAATATTACTAATAATATTACAATATAATGGTATAGTACAATATAGTAATATATAATGCTGATATTGTGCTATGCTAATAATATAATATATTGTATGTATATATATCTTGTAAGCTGCTCTGAGACCCCTTCGGGGTGAGAAGGGGCGGCATATAAATGCCATAAATAAATAAATAAATAAATAAATAATGTTTGTCTTAGCTCCCAAGATCCATCAAAAAGAGGAGAATACTGCTCAATTCAGACATCACGCTAACAATGCTTAAGGAAGCTGCATGCTGTGGTTTGCTTGTGTATATGAAAGCTTAAACCACCCTTGGTACTGAGTAATAATAGCTCAAACTATGGTAATTAGGGAAATATCTGTTTTAACTACCGTGCTGATTCTATACAGTATTTCATGCTTATACATGCAGTAACTTTTTTAAAAACTTACATTGAAATCAAGAAGTGCATCCATTTGATTTTGTATAATTGGTACAGTTTTTAAGAGTTTCTCTGTATTCATTGTCCTCATGACCCCATCAGCCCTAAGAGAAAACAGAAACATAGTATAAACAAAACAAACCTATTTCATATAATTCATATAATTCACTTTTTCTAAGGGCCCATGCACACACATAGATAACTGTGACACAGATCACACAGATATCTTTCATCATAGCATCATATATAATCAACTAAATTACAGAGTTGCTAAGGAACCCTGTTAATGAATTGCAAAGATGTGTAACGGACAAGAATGTCCCATTGTGCATGAGCAGTCACTAGTTGGTGTCGTTTTTTTTTTTACATCAGTTACAATGTGCAATGATTGTTTTGGTGGCTCTCTCGCATTGTAATGCAATAGCAGCCTCTTGCTGAATATGGATGTTGTGAAGCTGCTAGATTTGATTTCCTACAGGCACAAATCCACTTACGAAGACACAAGTCCCCAAGTGAATTCTGGCCAAAGTCTCCTTTACTTTGTTCTTGTACTTTGGCTCAGTATTGATTTGAAAACACTGCCTTGTGCTGAGAAAGATCAAATCCATAGACCACCATAAAGAATCCCAGCACTTTCCCCCCTAAAAATATCAGGGGATCCCATGATAGCAGAGTCCCCATCTTACCACTGGCAATTACCCACACTGTTGTTAGTATGGCTTTCAGCCCTGAAAAACACATCAAAGCTAGATCCTAACACAGATTTACACTGCAACTTAAAAAAAACTACACAATTCCGTTGGGAGCATATAATTTAAAACACACACATTTAAAACGTGATTGAAAACATACAAGATAATAATACAGTATGCCATTTTCAAACATTGTTCTGCCCAGTGCTTAAAAATCAAAGGCCTACCTAAATATAAAGGTCTTAATCTGCTAGAAAAAAGAAATCAGAGAGACAGCCAACTGGACCTCAAAGGAAGGGATTTCTCCATCTAGGAGAAGCCATTGTGAAAGCTTCCTCTAGTATCTTCACCAAATGGGTGTATAATGGAGGTGAGAAATATTCTTTCCTGATTATTTTTTGTGTGCTTCATTGTTTTGAGGCATTGAATGTTTGCCTTGTGTCTCTGTATGCTGGAATCTATCCTGAGTCCCCTCAGGGAGATAGGGTTCAATACAAATAGTGTTGCTGCTGCTGTTCTTGTTATTATTATTTTACAACTCACACCAACAAATTTTCAATTAAAGACACAAAACTGGGTTTTCTCAAATATATCCCAAATAGAGAAAGATACATTTTGAGTGGCAGACCCCAAATCGATCATTATTACTGACTATAGGTCAAGCCAACCCTGATTGGGACTGCCTTCCACTTAGAAACTGATGTCCTCACTGTGAGAGAACGTGCGGATTATAAGAATAGGGCTCCACAGCCACCTATGGACACATCGCCAAGACACTACACTTGGGAGGACCATCATTCTTGGGCTACGAGGGAACGCCTAAGTAAGTAAGTAAGAAAGTAAGTAAGGGAATATGATGTTTATGTAACAACATTTAGCATCAGAAGGTATATTGTACTGAAAACAAATTGCTATGGTTCAACCATGAGAAAGGGGAGGGATGATTTTAATCCACTTTGCAGATTTTAAAAGAGCATCAGGTTGGTCAGTTTACTAGTTAAATCACAGAATCATAGACTCAAAGAGTTGGAAGAGTCCTCATGGGCCATCCAGTCCAACCCCCTGCCAAGAAGCAGGAATATTGCATTCAAATCACCCCTGACAGATGGCCATCCAGCCTCTGTTTAAAAGCTTCCAAAGAAGGAGCCTCCACCACACTCCGGGGCAGAGAGTTCCACTGCTGAACGGCTCTCACAGTCAGGAAGTTCTTCCTTATGTTCAGATGGAATCTCCTTTCTTGTAGTTTGAAGCCATTGTTCCTTGTCCTAATCTCCATGGAAGCAGTAAACAAGCTTGCTCCCTCCTCCCTGTGGCTTCCTCTCACATTTTTATACATGGCTATCATATCTCCTCCCATCTTTCTCTTCTTCAGGCTAAACATGCCCAGCTCCTTAAGCCGCTCCTCATAGGGCTTGTTCTCCAGACCCTTGATCATTTTAGTCGCCCTCCTCTGGACACATTCCAGCTTGTCAATATCTCTCTTGAATTGTGGTGTCCAGAATGTACATCTTGCCTTTTCCCCAATATGCTCATGTCAGATTTGGCTTTCCTCCCTGCTTTATCCTCCCCACAGCCCTCTGAGAAAGACTTGCCCAAGATCAAGCAATACATTTTATGGCTCACAGGGAATAAAATCCGGATATCCTAAGTTACAGTTCAGCACTAACATGACACTTTCTCCAGTAGAACCTGGACAGTGGACTGGAATGAGCCAGCAGGGTTCTTCTTATGTTTGTTATCACATCCAGATTCTTAAGCTTTCTATGACTCCAACAAAGGTTTGTCAAGCAGTACGTGAGACTATGATTGAAGAAGCACGTATCCAAAAATTATTTGGCCCGCAGAGTTGTTTGTATAGGGTTTCTGGTGATTATAAAAACAAGACTGGCTATGACCTCCAGGTGCTTGTCTGATGACAATATGGTATGAAGGATCCGCTCTAATAAGTTACCATGCTTTCAGCCTTCAAAGAACATTTTTGAGTGCAAAATATGTATTTTTACACAGATTGCCGATGCTCCATAACACAAGAATGATCATTGAAGGAATTGGGGGACATGAGAGAAGCCCCCTCGCAGGATTGCAAGACATCCGGGTGTCCCCGGGCAACGTCTGCGTAGACGGGTGATTCTCTCACTCCAGAAGCGACTTACAGCATGCAAACAAGAAGCTAAACCACCAACTGACCTTTTCAGGACCAACCATGACAATAATCTCAATCAACATTGAAGGCAAACTACAGAACACCTGCTGCAATGCAACCTGAGTCCTGATATATGCACAATGGAGGACCTTCTAATAGTAACACCAGAGGCACTCCAAGTGGCCAGCTACTGGTCAAAGGACATTTAATCAACGATCAAGCTTGCAAACTTTGTGTTTTGTTTGTTTGTTTGTTTAAAAAATGCAATACAACTGTTTGCTTTGCTCCTGACACGATAAATAAATATTGAAGACATTCAAATGAGCCTGGTGTGTTAAGGGTTTTTGTTTTGCTTTCTCAAGTAAAAAAACCCTTTTTTAACTTTCTGAAACGAAAGGAAGTGCATGGGAATCAAACCACCCATGAGAAAATAAAGCACAATGTGTATGTTTTTATTTATGTAATGATATCTCCAGGCAGCTTTTCAAACTACTTTCAGATTCTGGGTGCAGGGCCAGTAAGCCTGTAGCCTTGTGGAAATTAAATTATTTGTTTCATGATGTGCTTATTTTAAAAATCCTTAAAGAGATTTTGGAAGCTATGCACAGGGTAGATTGGCAAAGTGTTTCATGCTAGGCATTACAATCCTTACCCTCTTTTTACTTTTGTGAAGTCAAAAGCTACTTGTCTGTAGGAAACTGCTTTTTCGTTCAGATACCTGCTATACCGCCTGATAAATGTGGACATATCATATCCTAAAGAAAGGAAAAAGAACAGAAGTTAACTCCCTGTATTGTATGGAAGGATATCAACATGAATAAGGCACATTGTGAAATTCAAGGACTATCAAGTAGTTACTGTACATGTCCATTTACTCTGTGTTACTGCAAAAACCACTGGGCAATTAAAGTCCAGAAAACATATATATTATCAGTTTTAGATCATGATACTGTGTTTTGAGTGTTCTGTTTCAGTTTCCAACATTTTCTAAGTTAAAAAACGATTCCCCATCCTACATGCACACACTTCCTCCCACTCAACCACCACAGAAACTAGTACAGACTAGCACTATCAACTGTCATGGCTGGCATAGCTTGGTTGAACATAAACAGAAATAATATCTCTGCCTTATCCATAGAAATGTTAGTTTTGTTACACTCTGGGGGAAGATGGGCACTTTCCTACTTAAATCTAGTCTGACAACTCTAAATAGAGGCCAAATATTTAAGTATGTGAAAAGGTAAAGGCTCAGTTAAAATTTCAAAGAGTGACTGAGCTGTGAAGATAATGCCTTGTTGTTCAACCTTCAACCTTTCTAATGCCATGATGCATTAATACAGTTCCTCATGTTATGGTGACCACAACCATAAAATTATTTTTGTTGCTACTTCACAACTGTAATTTTGCTATTGTTATGAATTGTAAGGTAAATATCTGACATGCAGGATGTATTTTCATTCACTGGACCAAATTTGGCACAAATACCTGATGAGCCCAAATTTGAATACTGGTGGTGTTGGGGGGGGGGGGGGGGGGGGTTGATTTTGTCATTTGGGAGTTGAAGTTGCTGGGATTTATAGTTCACTAGAGCATTCTGAACTCCAACAACAATGGAATTGAATCAAACTTGGCACACCAAACTCCCACGACAAACAGAAAATAATGGAAGGGTTTGGTGGACCTTGAGTTTTGGAGTTGTAGTTCACCTACATCCAGAAAGCACTGTGGACTCAAACAATGATGCATCTGGACCAAACTTGGCACAAATACTCAATATGCTCATATATGAACACTGGTGGAGTTTGGGGGAAATAGATCTTGACATTTGGGAGTTGTAGTTGCTGGGATGTATAGTACACCTACAATGAAAGAGCATTCTGAACCTCACCAACGATAGAATTGGGCCAAACTTCCCACACAGAATCCCCATGACTGACAGAAATTACTGTGTTTTCTGACAGTCTTTGGCGACCACTTGACACTCCCCTCACGATCCCCTAGGGGTCTCGATCCCCGGGTTGTGAAACGCTGTTCTAAGGTGTTATGACATGCTTGAAACAAACCAAGTAATTTACCTTGCAATCCGCTTTTGTCCAAGAAATTGCTCAAGTTAAATAATGTGTTTCTGGAAGCCAGATATTGGATGAAACGCTAGAGAAAATAAAATGACAGTTATCCATTGTTCAATGTGTATATTTTGCATCAAGAGTTACAATAGTCAGCACTCCCATGTGTCACACCTGCCACTATACAGTTGATAAAAAAAAAACCCTCTGTTGTGTGTGCTCATGAAGAGCTCCTTTAAAAACTTCTTTTGAAAGAGCAGTGAGCACAAAAGATGACAATATATAATACTCTTCAGTGAATCATCCCATGCACCAGTTATAATAATCTAATCTTTATTTTCCTACGGAGGAGGAAATAAGAGCTATTGCTGCAAAGCGTGTGGACTCTGTAAGGTTGCTCAAGGCTGTGGAATGCTCTACCTGACAACTGTATGCTAGCAGTTCTTTCCTTGTTTCTAATAGGATCTGTCTGGCATTCATTCCAGCTTGTATTTCAATTGGCATGCTCTTCCTTCCTTGTTTTAAAGTAGCTTCCTTGTTTTAATTGTTACTATACATCACCATTGCATGTTGATAAGTAACCGTTTGTTTTCCTAAATGAAATTTGAGACATTGTATCCTGATCTCTAAATATATATCTGAAAAAACAGAAACCCAAATGTTCATGTTTACGTTCATTCCATTTTTAATATGTCATTATTGACTGTTGTTTTTGTTATGTGATTTATATGATTTGTATTTTATTGATTGTTTATTAATGTTGTGTTATTGATGCTGTTTGATGTACTTCGGGCTTGGCCTCATGTAAGCCGCACTGAGTCCCTTGGGGAGATGGTAGCGGGGTACAAATAAAGATTATTATTATTATTATTATTAGTAGTAGTAGTAGTAGTAGTAGTAGTAGTAGTACAGTTTTATGTGTAGTATGACGACTGAACTGAAACTGTGAGGCCTGGCTACATAATTAAATAACTTTCATCTTGAAAGTTTCTGTGGGTGTATGTATACAAAACCTATACACTCATTCTTTTCTCAACATTACTCTATACCTAAGAGACTCTCCTAAGTGCAGTTTGTAAAAACACTTTGGGTTTTGGTGAAACTCCAAGTGACTGGAAGGCAAGGAATCTTAAAAGGCTCAACTGAGCAGTAATAGGTAAACTTGCTGAAAAGATTAGATGTAAAGGCTCCTTTTTTTTTCTTGGTCTGAATTACAGACTAGTTGTCGTTTTGACCTGAGCGGATGGAAGTCTCCAGAAACAATGGATATGTACCAGTACAGTTCGAATTACATTCTAACAATGGAATCTAATCCTTACAGCAATGATTTACTCAAATGATTGGACGGGATTATATGTATTAAAGGTGAGTCTCTCTGGGCATTTCACCAGTCAACGATTTAGTTATGTGACGATGATGCACACTTCAGATGATTCATATTATACCCATTCATTTCGCAGCCTTAGGCAGTCCACAACTTCCTTTTCCTTCCCTGATCAAACCCCAGCAATTCCATGGAAATGAAGTGCTTGATATAAATAGCACTTTTGTATAGCGTGAGGTAATAGCTTCAACAATACAATCATGGATATATTGCAGGGGGTGGGGGATGGCAGCATTGTCCTGCAAACATACTCAGAAGCCCCTTCTCCTGTCAACAGAGATCAACCAGAGGCAATTGCTTTAAATGATGATTTAGAAAGGATTGTGGGCTCTTCTGTGGCACAAAGTAAAGGATCCTAAAGTCTGGGGAATTCAAGTCTGGGAAATGATGTTTCTCTCTGTGAGAAAACTGGCCCGGAAAGTGCAGAGCCTCAAGGCCAGTCCGAGGAATCAGAAATAGCAACAGCAGATAATAAATTGAGTGAAGAGCTCAGGAGGCTTCCCAGGAGAAATCACCGGTAGCTACAGAGATCAACAAAAGTTTTCATTTACAAATTAAGAGCTAAAAATTGATTACACCAGTATGAGATTATGTGGGAAAGTTGGGCAGAAAATTCACGGGAGACATAATGCTTTCATGGGTGTCTATTAAACAACAAGTTGTTAACCTTAAGGGCAGTTCAGGCAACGTTCCATTAGAGCGAGAAGCTAAGCCTAAATTCTTTGATTTTGGATTTTAATCCTGGAAGTTTTCCATGTTCCTGTTCATGTACTCTTGTTCAAGTTTTCCTAGTTATACCTCCATGCTTGTGGACTTATTTTATACCTTTGATTTCTGGCTGTTCCCGGACTTTGTCACCTCTGGAACTTTATTAGACATTTGGATTATTGTTTGGTTATCACCTGTTGCTAAACGTTTTTGGATTATATATCTTCCTTTTTTATTCCTGCTTTTTATGTGTTTTACAATAAAGTGTTTGATTATATTCCTGGACTCTTGTGTGGTACGGTGGTCATAGGTTTTCCAGGCCTGGAGTGCAACAAAACCACACTCTATTGCGTTAATCAGGAAAGACAATATTAGAGCCACAAAATAAAGGAGTATTCCACATAAGGGAATCCCTTGGATTCTTTCATGTTATACACATGCCTGTGATGATATAAAACTGAATAAATACGGTAGGACATTTTTACTGAGTTTTCATTTTACTGGGGCTTGGTTTTCCCCAGTTCTTGGACTATTGCAAACTCTTCTGAAGCATTTTTTGTTGAACTCCAGTATGCAAATATTTAATAAAGGAAACATTACTTTCTGGGTTAAGTGAGAGACAAATTAAATCATGCAAAGGCAGAAGTCACATTAAGCATCACAAAAGATCATGTTCTGTGCTACCATCATGCATTAAGTAGCTACTCTATATGAAACATTAAATTTAAGCCATTATATATTGAAGATAGGTTACAAAATGCATACTATACAGAAACTGATCCACACATAGGGTGGCTTATTGTTCTAGTAATATTCTGATCATATTTTTTCTAGTTTGACTTTAGAAATGACAGCTATGCTATAAACAGACCTTCCTTTAGAAGACGGTATATAGGCTAGACACATACATCTCCATGACTTAATTACCATATAAACAATTGTAGCTGTGTTTTATTATGCATGATATCCCATTAGGCCCACGTTTCTTTATACTCATTTCTAATTTGTAACAGATAAGTCAATATACCCAATTATTGTTCTGTTTTTTTAAAAAAACAAAAACCCTTAGAATACATTAAAAGTGTTTTGGTTTTTTTTGTTTTTGTTTTTTGCTTTGTGGCTGATATCTATTGCACTTTTGGAGTAAGTACTCAAAAATGACAATTCATTTTGAAAAGTTATTCTAATTAATGTAGAGATAATTGGGAGTTCTTGGACATATGGGAGACTTGCATGAATTGCTGTCTTTGTGCATATTTTCAGACTTCTCCATGTAGCGTTTGGACAAAGGTGCTGTAAAATTGTGCCAACAATTTTAAAATTGGGGGCGTTAGGAGACTGGCTGTTTTAGGGGCTTAAAAAGTGGATCTAGGGATTGCATGTGGTTCTATGCTGCAGTTTGTACACCTCTATGTTCAACAAACCTACAACCTTATCTGTCAGATGTAGGTGCTCTTAATGGTGTACTTTAGTGCTTACAGAGCAAAGATTAGGGCTCATTCTTTAACCTTCATACACTCCAGCTGTTTTTAAAGAATAATTGCTGTCCATGACAAACAACAAAAAACAGGTTGCACCGAGAAAGTAAATTCTCTAAACTTTAAGTGGTCTGCAGTAATCAGTTACCTCATTTCCATACACCATTAGATGGTGAGTTGTGATGAGCGACTTAAATACCACTACCCAGCTGCTATTCATCGTCCTTTCAAACAAGCTGTCCGCCAACTGTGGGATATTTACGTTCATCTCATTTGTGCACTGTATTAAATCTGCAATATAAAAAATAAATATCGTTATTTCAAATAGATAGCCACCAGATCAGATCAATGAAGGAGACATTTCTCCAAAGATAGTATGAATGAGAAAGAAACATATGTGTGAGTGTGTTCTCTGAAATGCATCTTCTGATGGTGCTGGCTGTTTATGTTGTGAATGATATTAATAATAGCAATATTGCCATTCGAACCCCATAGCAAGGGAAGTCCAACTGCTGTAGAAAGGAAGGTAGATTGGAAAAATTCAAAATCAGTCTGCACAACACTGACCCAAGGCTTTAGCACAGTGGTTCTCGACCTGTGGGTCTCCAGATGTTTTGGCCTTCAACTCCCAGAAATCCTAACAGTTGGTAAACTGGCTGGGGTTTCTGGGAGTTGTAGGCCAAAACACCTGGGGACCCACAGGTCGAGAACCACTGCTTTAGAATAAGGAAAAGATGGAAAGATCTAAGGTGCCTCTGGTTTTTGTTTTAGCTTGGTTTGAAAAGACATGAAAAGAAGAGACAAAGTCTAAATAAAATTATGAACATGGTGAATAATTTGTATTCATTCTCCACACTAAAATATAACCCATTAGAAATTATGGTGATGAATTCAAATGCAACAAAAAGTGAACTTTTGTACAGTACATAATGAGTATACATAATTATTTTATGGTATTTGTTAACAGCATGAACTTTAAACACGCCCCCCCCCTAACACACACACACAAAGAGCAACACAGTACAAAAATATGATAAAATGCAGCAAGAGACTTTTACTTGAACCTTTCTGAGTATGTTGCCTAAAGATGTAACAGGAAACATTGTGCTAATGCCTTTAACCAAGGCCTTAGAACCTGTACTAGCTGTACCCGCCACACGTTGCTATAGCCAATCTTCCCTCTCTTTCTCTCCTTTCTTTCTCTCCTTCCCTCCCTCCCTCTTTCCTTCCTTCCCCTCCCTTTTTCTTTCTCTCCTTTCTTCCTTCTCTACCTATTCTTGGACTGCAACTCCCAGCAGTCCTGATTGATCTGTCTAGCTACTATCTATCTCTATCTAATCTATATATCTTATCTATCTGGAGGATTGCTGGGAGTTGCAGTCCAGGAATAGGAAATATGCAGGAATTAGGATGCTCTCAAAGAATTCCAAGAAGCAGCAAGCTTGCATCTTGGAAGCAGTGCATTTGGAACATCCCCCCTCCCCAAAAGGGCCTGGTCTAGGGGATGCTGGGAGCTGTTGTTTTCACGCATGTGCTGTATCATCGTTTAGCTTTTGGGGGTTTAAAGACCTTTCCCCTGGTTTTTGGGAGGGGTTTATGAGTTATGGTCACTTGTTGGTCTGTTAGGGGTGTAGTGTCCAAATTTGGTGTCAACTCATCCAGTGGTTTTTGAGTTATGTTAACCCCACAAACGAACATTACATTTTTATTTATATAGATTGGAAAGGGATTTAGCAGCATTCCAAGTTCCAGGTCTAACTTTGTTGCATTTGAATGGAGAAGTCTATCAAAAATGTTATAAAGAAAGACCCACTTCTTTGTACCCACAGATCTGTTTCTGTGGAGATACTAAGTAGGGATTCTAAGGATGAATATCCGCAAGGAAGCTCATACGTAGTCTATGTCTTAAAGCAAACAATCTGATCCCAGATCATTATGATTTTAAACACTGTACGTTAGGTTACTGATTCTGAAGATACAGCTCTATTTTCATTTCGGGAATTTGATTGTTGGAGCCAGAACAAAAACAAGGCCAAGAAAACCACCTAGTCTATATGATGTGCAGCTTAAAGGGAAATGTGGCCATGCTGAAGAAATTAACAAAGAGTAAGGCATGGAAGTGCGTTCCGTGTGCTAAACAGGCAGTATGCAAGTCAACTCCATGACGAGCCAAAAACATCTGAGAGGCTCATTTACAGTTCTTCTTTATTTTCAGACAGACTGTACCAGCAGACATATCAGGTTGGTGCCCAATTCTCATGCTCCCTGGCTCTAGCAGAGAAGCGTAAATAACCAAACTGGCAGAGTTTTACCATTCTGAACACATGAGCCTTTCAGATTTTGTTAAATCTACCCTTCTTATACAGCAGAAGAAAGACCACATGAATCTAGTGCCACTTCTAATACGACTCCAAATATCACCCTGGGGGAGAATTAACATCTTTATAGAACCTAAGAAATTTCCTCCCTCTGAGTTTTCCAAGTAGCAGTTCTTTCACACAATTTCAGTTCACCTCTCAAGTGCTACAAAAAATGAGTCATGGGTAGAACCATACTTATATAGCACAAGGGCCATTCAAACTAAATTCTTCCAGATTCAAGCACTGTATGCCAATAATACGCTGCAAATATTAATTCTAACCCAATACGTAAACTGGTTCAAATCTACTGGAACAATGGAGAGGGGGGGAAACACCCAAAAATGGAGGCAAGAAAAGTCAGCTACCAGCTTTGTCCATTAACAAGGATAAAGCTCAACTACACCAAGACTTTCTTCAAAGTTAAGAGATTTATGTCTGGCAGCCATCGAAATGCTTAAGTGATTTAGCAGATTAAAAATGTTAAAGCAGCATTACAGCCATCTAAGCTAGCCATACTGCCAAGTTTTAGTTTAATGGCTTTAATATTCGTGCACCCAGGAAGAAGGGGGTGGGGAGACAAACAAGACAGCAAATGATCTGGGAGTATAGCCGGGGGGGGGGGGGGGGAATATTTCCTTTTACTCTTCCCTGAAGCTTCTGAAAATAGAGTCTTACAAAAATAAAGCCTTAGCCTGCTCACTAGAAAGGTATTCACCATTTCCTTAAACCAACCCAAATAGCTTCCTGCCCCCACCTTTCATGAGTAAATGTTAGCTTCCAGTTGCCGTCAGCTGAAGTAATATGCAATAAATCCAACCACTGTTCAGCTCTATAAAAAGATGCACTATTCTCTAAGTTTTGCTTAAGAAGTATGTACATCGAGCTTCCAAAGACCTTTAAGAGTTTTGGCCGTACATAGAAGATTCACACATGCTGATCCAAGATGAAGCATTATAAAATAGATAGCGTAACGCAAAGCACTTTGGATTCGGATTTTAGGTCACATCCATAAGTCTTACATCATTCACACCTACAGAAATACACTGTAGACCAAACACACACCAAAACCATTAGTTTTGTGCTCAGTCTGCATATTATCTGTATTTTCACTGGAGCTTCCAAGTTTCACAACATACAATGTTCCCATTCATATGCAATCTGGAAATGAAAGGACTGTCCTTTCTAGCCAGCCTCAAGCAAGATAGTCACATTGCAGGCGCTCCAAAAAAGCATATTTGTAAGTACAAATGATTTTTCTTAATCTTTATATATAATACAAATGCTATAGAGTTGTCAGATATGTTTTTAGGGTGGAATAAAATAAGCCCCAGATCAAGTGAATTCAAATGCCTCATATATCTAGAAAAAGCAATAGGTCATAAGTATGAAGCAGACCTCTAGAACAAGTGGGAGCAAGAAATGTCTAGTTGTTCCAGGTCAGGGTTTCTCAAACTTTTAAAGCTGCTGAGCTCTTTTTGAAGGGAACGTTTCTCGTGTGGCCTCAAGAAACTCTCGGACACAGGGGACACATTGCATTTTTAAATTTGACAGATGGGCTGGGCCAGTGGCAAATAGATGGTGAATGTTTGTGTGAACAAACTGAAAAAAATGAACAAATTATAGAATCATAGGATCACAGAATTGGAAGAGATCCCGTGAGCTATCTAGTCCAACTCTCTGCCAAGAAGCAGGAAAATTGTATTCAAAGCTATGAACGCTGCACATATCTTATTTGTAGTGCCAGAAAGAAAGAAAGAAAGATACAATATTTAAAATGAAGAACAATTTTAAGCAACATAAACTTAACAATATTTCAGTAGAACATCCTAGAGATTATCCAGACTTTGCAATACAATGACGACGACGACAACAGCAGTAACAACAACCCAGGGGCCACCCAGTCCAACTGTTTCTGCCATGCAATAAAAACACAAATCAAAGCACCTCCAACAGATGGCCATCCAGCCTTTGCAATAACAACAGCAATAGGCTTTGCCAAAGGAGGCATTGGGAAGGCCCCGCAGGTCACCCAAGTCACATGCTTCCTATACGGGGGGTGGGTCGGGCGCATGCGGGGCCCTGCACGGCCCCTGACTATGCTTTCCAGCGCACAGTTTGAGAACTGCCACTCTAGATAATGACCCAAAACACCAAAATTGTTTATCATTGTCCTCCATCTTGCTAGGTTTCATACTATGTCCTGCCTCACTCTGTTCCCCCTCTGAAACTACTAAAGTATAAGAGATGGACTTGAACTGCAAGAAGATCCAACCAGTCCATACTTCAGGAAATAAAACCCGACTGCTCCCTGGAGGGAAGGATATTAAAGGCAAAGATGAAGTACTTTGGCCACATCAAGAGAAGACAGGAAAGCTTAGAGATGACAATAATGCTTGGGAAAATGGAAGGAAAAAGGAAGTGGGGCCGACCAAGGGCAAGATGGATGGATGGTATCCTTGAAGTGACTGGTTTGACTCTGAAGGAGCTAGGGGTGGTGACGGTTGACAGGGAGCCCTGGCGTGGGATGGTCCATGAGGTCACAAAGTGTTGGAAGAATCTCTGGTGAATATACAGGTGTTATCGGGATCCCTACATTCTCGTCAAACCCATCTAGAAGTAAATGGAAGGCATGGGGAAATTGTAGTTTTAAGTATGGATATGTTCAGGGTATGTAAAAGGTATGTAAAATTTTCATTTTTCAAATACAGTGATGCCTTGAGTTAAGAGTTTGATTTGTTCCATGACTGGGCTCTTAACTCAAATCACACTTCTCTTACAGCAAATTTTTCAATTAAATGCTATTAAACTGTTTTTAAATAAAAAAGTACTTTATAAATAACAAATAATGTATAAATGCACATTCACATGGAACAATAAAAAGAAAAATCGACTTTAAAATGTTAGAAGCACAAAGCAAAGAGGCCGAAGCAT